ACACACTGACAAAATGTATATTAATAATATTATTTATACGAGAACTAAGATAAGTGTTTGTATAGTAATTCCTTTTGTTTTATTACCGATAGAATGATGTTAATTTTCATGACGCATGGATCTCAACTTCCGTCTCTCACATTGGGAGAAAGTTTTGTTGAAGACATTTTTAAAGCAGTTATTAGTACACTCTATTACAAAAAAATCGACGCACCAAGAAGCAATCATCCGATTGCTTTGAAATTTCGTATACATGAATGTTTTGAACAGATCAGGCTGGAATGATACCAACTGGGGACGTATTGTCTTTAGCGATGAATCCCGCTTCTAACTGTGTCCTGACGATCATCGAAGACGTGTTTGGAGACGCACAGGGCAGAGGGGGGATCCTGCCTTCACTATTGCACGCCGCATCGGCCCTCAACAAGGCATTATGGTCTGGGGTGCCATTTCCTTTGACAGCCGGACCCCTTTGGTCGTCATTAGAGGTACATTGACTGCACAGCGGTACGTCGACGACATCCTAAGATCTGTTTTGCTACCGTTCCTTTTACAGCGCACTGGGCTGGTTTTTCGGCAGGCAATGCCAGACCACATACGGCACGTGTTGCTATGAACTGTCTGCAAGCTTGTCAAACTCTTCCTTGGCCGGAGCTTTATCGGTCTATGCCACGCCGTGTGGCAGCTTGTATCCAGGCTAGAGGCGGGTCAACACATTATTGAACTTGCTACTGTAACTCTGTAATAAATCATTCAATTGTTCTGAAATTTTAATCATTTACTATTCTGTACATTGTCTTCCTATCCATCAATTTTCGTTTCAATCGGACAACTCCTTCTTGGTGCGTCGATTTTTGTTATGGAGTGTATTTGAGTATCCCTTTTTCGTTCGAGGTTAACAGTTACTGTTTTTTCCAAGCTGTTAAATCTGATACTTTTTACCTGAATGCCTGATACTTTGCCTTAAATAAAATTGTTGCCATTTTAGCAGAAATCAAGACCAAAATCATCACTAAAAATATATCAAAATAAAAAAAAATATAAATATATAATCGATGAATGATTGTATGGTGAATGAATGAATTTAAACGATAAATTATATATATCTTATCTTTTTTCGAAGTTTTATCTATTGGGAAGTTAGAAGTACTTTACTATCATTCACAAATGTATGTTTAAAATCTAAACACGAAATGCTCCATTTTTATTGATTCGGATATACGGTTTTTGGTTTTTCTAAAAGCAGTTTCAGGTTCTTCTATTGATATAAAGGGAAGACTTTTTAATATTAATATACTCTCAACTCTTTCATCGACGGAATATTATTCGCTATCATAAAATATTCCAGAAAATGATGGAACATATCTGTGAGATAAACAAAATTAACTTCCAATACTCGAAAGGGTAAGAGCAGGAAAAAAAACTTAAGTTTCATATTCTCGGAGCATTAATATTTCATGAAAACATTATAACGTAAAAAAAAAAATAAGGGATACTTGAAGGCTGTTTGGACTGTAAACTTATCTAAATTCGAAACATATCGTCTGCACTTTCACTCCGAACTGAAGTGATGTAATAGATCCATTACCTTAGCCATGTGTTGGGTGATGAATTGCTTTTAAAGGATGAGCTATTTCCACTCAATCTTCTTTCCATTGAGGTAATGCTGAAACCGTCTGTTACGAAGAGTTAACTGCCTTGACCGTATCGAACGCGAATCATTGGGTGGAGCCATGATAAGAACTCCAGATTCTCCAACTCAAAACGAATAAAGAATGGAAAGAGGATTTTCTATGGAATTATGTTTTCAGAGGAGAGAAAAGTAGCGCTTTGTGAACAATAGGTTAAAAAAGAAAATGAATAAAAAACAGTCTGAAAAAGTTTTTGATCTAAGGATCTGACATACATTCAGAAGCAAGTCTTAATATTTGGTTGAGACAAGCCTAAAAACGTTTAACTAATAAATTACTGTTATTAATCAAGGCTGTTATTTGAACGCCATGTCGTAACATCAATTCACGTTTTTATTTGAGAAGAATATGATATTTTTATCACTGCTGTAAGCTTGCAAGAGTTATTTGTGACTGTAATGTCAAGTTTAGCCTATTTATACGTAAGTGCCTTCTATGCTAATTCTGGAAATGGCGCAAAACGTAAATATGAAGAAAAATCGTATTTCTCTGAAAAGACACATGTTGTGATCTAATATTTTAATCTTTAAAAAAGCTACTCAAACGATAGATTTCTCGTCTCGACTTGAGAATTATTCATTGATTTTTATAATTTTCATAACAAATAATAGTAAAAAAATGGATAAAAGTGGAGAAGACTAGTCGAATTGGCGATATTTGAAAAAAGTTTAATAGCTTCTAAAATACTTAGGTTATTTGTCCGTTCTATAGCCCAGATAAATCTTCACGGCAATTTGATATACAGGGTTATTCATAATTCCCTCCGGGATTTCGAAGCGTTATAGTATAAGAACGAAGACGAATATGCTAAAAAAAAACATATGAAATTATTCCGAAAGTATTCAAGTTTTAATTTAAGCAGTTGCCGGTAGATGACAGTAACATGTACCACTGAAGTCAGTTGTAGTAAAAAAAATGGCGTTTACAGGCGGAGGGAATTATGAATAACCCTGTATATGGTTTGAAATTATAGCTTTGCTTCAAATATAAGATACATAAACTTTGGCATTTTTATTCACCTTGGCGAAAGAATTTTAAAGGAGACTGTTAATGTAGCTGAAATAAAAAAGATACAAATTGTATAATATTAAGTATTTTATTTTATTTTATTTTATTTTATAACCTTCGTTGAACAGCCGACCCAATTTTATGGATTTACGACTACTAAGTTTGAAATAATGTTCAAGTCCGCTGCCTTGTAATCTTGAACCTAATTCAGAAGACAAGGGAACTCCTGGATTAAGTATTGGGACAAATTTGTCTTCGTGGAGGACTTTTTGATGGAACTTACCCGCATTTGCATTACACGGAGAGGAAAACCACGTAAAAATCCCATGGTCAGCCTGAAGGGCAAGGGGACTCTAATCCATGATCCGTCAACAACTGAGGATTTTTCACATCAGCACTGTGGTCAGTGCAAGCCGGATGCGGAATTCGTATCGACCAGACATCGCTGGGATTTGAACCCGGTTCATCTTAATAGAAGGCGAGCGCTCTATCCCCTGAAACGTCACGACTCAATATTAATAAACGTATTTGAACTTAAGAGATTTTAATGGGTAATGCCATTTTTGTGGAAAAATATTAGTTTGGTTAAAGCGCTCTTTGCCTGAAATTTCACTCTGTACTGAAGTGATGTTATAATTATTTCACTAGGGAACAAGTTTTTTGTTGCATTTAAACAAATACTTGATTTTACCTAGTTCGGGTGTGGGGATTTTGAATCTGGAATTAATTGCTCTTGTAAAGCTACAGATTTCCTTAAATGACATTTATTGTCCATTTTTTGCTCAAATGTTTAAAATCGTTATATATAACAGTGGGTCTCGTAAACGTTGCGAAAACTTCTCTGGAAGTTAGAGCACATCATTAGAATTAAAATACATAGAAACCCATGAATGGAAATGTCGGCTTACGCGGCTAGGTTTCACTTTCCTACGATGACTTCTACCCAAATACACGAAGAAACAGTTCATAATATGAAAGCTCCAATATGACATTACCGAGTAAGATTTCTAGGCTATTTAAACCCTGATGATGTGCCATTACTGCCTTAGAAGTTTGTCGCAATGTGGCTTCCCAGCGTGGCCAGGGGTGCAAAAAGTGCAGAATTCAAAAACAAGAAACGTAATGTAATATAATAAAATATGGAGATTTAGGAGGCCTATCTTTTTTTTATACATATATAAGTAACATTTAATATAAACTATTCCTGACTGAGTGCTTTTGTTCAATTATTCTTTTTAGCCACACTTATACATTAGTTTGCTATTGAACGTTTCACAAGTTTATAGTCAATCTTTGATAAATCTTTAATCTTTTTTCGATGTAATTTCAGAACAACCGGTTCTCTAAAAAAATGACAAATGGATAAAAAATTGATTTGAAGAAAAAACAGATGGCGCTAGAAAGGTCTTGTCTGCTATCTTTTGCTAAGAAAAATCAAATAATTTGTGCTGATAAATTTTTAAATTAGTTACAAAGCTTGTCAACAGATGATGCTTCTGACAAAAAAACTAATAACAATGTCTTTTGTTGCTAGTCAAACCATTCGAACTGAAATATTTGTGTTATATATATTACTTGTGTTATATATATATATATATATATTGTTGTAATCCCATTTCATTTGTTCATGTGTCGAGTAGCTCGTTTGGGGGGGGGGGGAAGTAAGAGTTTGATTATATTAATTATTTATTTACAAAAATATTTACAGATATCATAATTGCACAGGCTCATTTGCGCGCACCTCTACGCTTTCTTACATTTGCAAAAACAAAACAGACACAACAGTTGCGGCGCTGCGCCACCTGCCGGACGTTAAGGAGAAAATTTTAACAATCGGGCATCCTGATGATACAATTGCCCTCAATTGACACTTTCTTAACAAAAGATACATACATCGATTGTTACATAATAGATATAGACAATTAACATTTTTTTTTCATACTTAATACACATGTTAGAGATTGTAATATGTTTTTATAGTTGGTGTCACGTGACTCTGACTGCTGCTGCTTTCATTTAATTTTTATTCTTTAACTTTGGTTTTTATGTTGGCAACCTTCTTGAAATGTTTTGTGTTGATTATTTAGTGTTCGAATTAGTTAGGTTTTGAAAATATCACTAAATTGAGATTGCTTTAGAATTAATAAATGTTTATTAAGTTTTAATTTGTATCTGTTTATTCATCTGTAGAACTAGTAGCTCATTTGAATAACATTAAAAAGGCGTCCGTGAAATTTATTTGTTTGCTGCAATTTACATTTTCTGGCGTCCGCGACAGGATATTTTTTCCGATTCGAAACAATGTTTCAAGCAGCAAAAGGATTTAAAAAAGAAGATTTGTTGTTCGTCGCTGAAGAAATTGGCGCGACATTACCACAAAAGGTCACAATATCGGAACTGAAAGAAGCAATTTTGAAAAGTAAGCAGTATTCCGAAGATCCACAGTTTGTTGAAGATATTTTGGTAACAACTGTTAGTGACCGGAAGCATAAAGAATTGGCAGAGGCGGATCAAAAACGATTAGAATATGAAGAAAAGCAAAAACAGTTAGAATGTGATGAAAAGCAAAAGCAATATGAAGAACGGGAAAGAATAAGATTACATGAACTGGAGTTGGCGCGAATTCAAGTAAACTCGCCAGTGGCAATAGCAGGTGAGTCCGAAAATTCTATGATTACTAGTGCTAGGAGGAAATTTAATTTACCCAAATTAGAGTTTCGACAATTCAGTGGGGATATCAAGGAATGGTTACCTTTTTGGAGCCAATTCCAACAGATTCATCAAGATGTAGATATTGCTCCCGAAAATAAATTTCAGTACCTTATTCAAGCTACTGTAAGCGGATCTAGAGCGCGAGAAGTTGTAGAGAGCTTTCCGCCAACCGGAGCTAACTACGCCAAGGTAATTGATAGTCTGAAAGCTCGGTTTGGAAGAGATGAACTTTTGGTAGAAGTTTATGTTCGCGAACTATTAAGATTAATAATTTCGGTTCAGAAAAATGAAAAAATTTTAATGACTTCTCTCTATGATAAGCTTGAATCGTACCTTAGAGCATTAGAGACACTAGGAGTAACAACTGATAAATGTGCTTCAATACTTTATCCAATGGTTGAATCTTGTTTTCAAGAAGAGTTCCTGAAAGCATGGAACAGAAGTCCTTCTTACGCAGCTTCAACTGATGCTAAAGAACGACTGAACAATTTGATGAATTTCCTGAAAACCGAAACTGAAGGAGAGGAAAGAATAAATTTAGCCATGGCTGGGTTTGGTTTGGGTTCAAGTGAAAATCGCCAAACTTTTAAGAAAAAAGGAAAGCCTTTGATTTCAGGTAGAGTGCCTACAGCTGCCAATTTACTTACTGTGGCTTCAAAAGAGGTAAAGAAATTATGTGTTTTTTGTTCTGGAAAGCACTCCAGCTCAGACTGTTTCACCGCTCAAAGGATGAGTTTAGCCGAGAGACAAGATATAGTAAGAAAAAANTATATATATATATAAGGCACAAAGGACAACTATTTATTCAAAAGAGGCACATTGCATAGTTGGCACATTGCATAGAGGAAATAAGTATAATAAATAATAAGTATATTTTGAGAGGATTATTTTATTTTATAACCGGCCGTGAGCAGCTGACCCAATTCTTAGTTTGCAACTATCAATGCTCAACTCCGTAGCCTTGTAGTTTTGAACCCAACCCTGAACACAAAGAAACTCTTGGATAGAGTATTAGGACAAACTAGCCTTCGTGAAGGACTTTTTGACGAAACTATCTCGCATTTGCGTTACATGGATATGAAAACTCACGAAAACTTCTCATGGTTAGTCCCACAGCAAGGAGATTATAACCAATTATCTGTCTACTACTGAAGATATTTTAAGTCAGCACTGTTCAGTCACTCTACCAGTCACATTTTTGCTCAATTTTGTGAAATCATATTTTTCAGTCTAGAACTCAGTTTCGCTCAACATTGCATTGCAAATGCAATTGTATTCTGTTGTAAATTGCCTCATTTTTCATGTTCTCGGCTACCGTGGTTACTCTCTGCCTCCAATTAATTTATTTCTCATGGTTTTTTCTGTTGAGAATTCGTGCCTTTTCTTCGTTTAACCTGTTTAAGGTTATCCTAATGAGGAGCGTCGTAGTTAGGACGCATCTTGTTTTCTGACATTACTGTCACTTTAATTATAAAACAATAAAAATTAATTATTTTCTAAAATGCTTTCAATTAATGTATTTAAAGCAATTAATGTTAAACAAGACAAATAATGAGTTTAAAACACTTTTTACCTCATTCTTCAGACGTAGTTAAGATAAAAACATTACATGACGATTTTTCTAATACATTAATAACTAATCTGATAATTATTTTTTAATGAAACACTATATCTCGCTTGTTCATTGTAAATGTGAAGTATCTCTTTGAAATTGAATTTCGAAATGTCGATTTCCCAAATTTAATTGCAGGAGAGCGAAAACAAGAATTTGTAAAGAGTTATCGATGAGATTTTAATGCAATAATTGATGCTACTTCACTTTTACAGCAAGAGATAAGAAAAAAGGTCTTGTAATTGAAAAGTAAACCACAATAAAAAAAAAATTTAAATATGGAGTTACGCACACTTTTACAATGAACAGACACATGCGTCTGTATTTCTTTTAAGCATAATGATGCATCAATTAATTTTAAAAGAAATTAAAATATCTTTTCTACAAAAAATACCTTTTCATATGAAATGAAAAGAAACCGAGATATTTTATTTTTAATCTTTTTTGGCAGAGAAGTTTTTAAAAAAATATTTAATTCTTGCCAAATTTGGTGAAAAATGAGGTCGAATACAAAGATTTATGACACTCTGGGGAAATAAATAGATTCCAAAAAAATTCTTTACTCTTTTTTAATTGCTTTCTAAATTATTCCGTCTTAATTTTAATCCGAGGGGATTATATTTTTTGAATTTATTATTTTTTTTTGCGAAAAACAAATATACTTAAGAAGTAAAACTACACTACAATAATATTTTTTCTCTTTTTTGTTTTTCTGAATATGAAAATGAAAAGATTCGAATGAGCTTAAAGTCTTTAGTATTTAAGTTGAATACTTCTTTTTTTCGATCAAAATAAGAAACAAATTAGTTTTTTTCTTTAAAGGAGTAAAGAAATATTTTTTTATGTCTCAGCTTTTCACGTATTAATATTCAATTAATAAAATGGTGAGATTTTTAATACTTATTTACTTCGTGTTTTTTTTCTTTTTCTTTCTGAAATTATTATATCAATACACATAAAAAAACTTATTGGTTTAGACACCGAAATCTGTTTTAATTCTAAGCAATACTTTATTAATTACAAAGGCATTTTCTTAAATTTCATTGCATTATTTAAAAGTTTTAAGGAATACTGTTTTAAAATGTGTCTTAAAGATAATGTTAAACTAAAAGGTCTTTAACTAATAATATTTAACAAATCTTAAAAAAAAATGGAATTGAAAAGTCGTTTATCTAAAATTCGATTTCTCAGGAATTAATCGATCTATTTCGTTCAAATTTTGTATTTTGTATCCATGTATTGTGTTTTGTATACATTTATTGCATTTTGCATACATGTATTGTGTTTTGTATACATGTATTGTATTTTGCATCCATGTAATGTATTTTGTACACATACATTGTATTTTATATATCTGTATTGTATTTATTAAGCATGTAAAATTATATTCTTTAAGAAGATAATTTTAATTTATTTTATAAAAGGCGTTAAATAGCCGACCCAATTTTGAGTTTAGGACTAGTTATGCTCTAATCCGTAGTCTTACAAATTTGAACCTAACCCAAAAGAATAGGGGCTTTTGGATCGGACAAGGGAGCATTGAAACAAACAGCTTTCCTGGCGAACTTTTTTATGAAATTAAACCAAATCTGTGTTACATGAAGGGGAAAATCATAATGTTTTGAAAATATATAGTTAGGAAGGTTATTACAAAACTATCTGTACATTGCTTTCTTTTAACACAAGGTTTGTATATTGCTACTTTGTTCAATTTTTTCTTTCGATGTAGGGTTAGCCTATTGCTGCTCCGTAAAATTTTTTCCTTCGATGTAGGGCTTATTTATTGCTGCTCTGTACAATTTTTTTCTATGTAAGGTTTGTTTATTGCTGCTCTGTTCAGTTTTTTTTACGATGTAAGGTTTGTTTATTGATGCGCTGTTTAGTTTTTTCTTTTGATCTAAGGTTCGTATATTGATGTTCTATAAGACTTTTTTCTTACAATGTAAGGTTTGTCTATTGTTGCTCCATAAAATTTGATTTTTCGATGTAAGATTTATTTATGGCTGTTCTGTACAATTTTGTCTTTTGATATAAGGTTTGTTTATTGCTTCTCTGTTAAGTTTAATCTTTTGATGTAAGGTTTGTTTAGTGCTGCTCTGTACAACTTTTTCTTTCGATTTACGAAATTTATTAACAGACCAATTTACAAAAAATGAAATTTAAAAATATTTGTTAAATTTCAAAGAATTCGAGCAATTAAATGTAATATAAAACACTTCTCTGCCAAATAAAGGTTAATGAAAAACTTAGAGTGACAATTTACGTAACAGATATTTTAATTTCCCATTCATGGAACTCAAATTGTCGATTTTAAATGATTGTTAAAGTAGTTCCCTTAGCACGTGTTTTTTTAAAAATTAAATTGTGAATAACTTAATTAAATTGTGAATTTAAAGTAGCTAAATGTTTAGTGTACAACTTTGCCGAAAATGCCGCTTTGTTTTCTTGCAAAATCCTATGTTCAATAGAAAATATGCTAAATTGGATAGACATATTCAAATATTTCTTCACTTGCTAAATTGGATAGATATATTCAGATATCTCTTCACTTACTAAATTGGATAGATATATTCAGATATCTCTGCACTTACTAAATTCGATCGATATATTCAGATATCTCTTCATTTACTAAATTGGATAGATATATTCAGATATCTCTTCATTTACTAAATTGGATAGATATATTCAGGTATCTCTTCACTTACTTAATTGGATAGATATATTCAGATATCTCTTCACTTACTAAATTGGATAGATATATTCAGATGTCTCTTTACTTATTAAAATAGATACATATATTCAGATATCTCTTAAAATATTCCTCGGCTTGGGATCTGGCTTCTCCTAATACTTTAAATTTTACACTTCTGCATTTGGATCCCCTTATTCTCATGCAATTAGAAGTCCAAGAGAAAAAAATTATACGTTAATTTCTCTCTTAATACGTGTCCTGTCTGTTTTTATCTTCTTTTATTTCTTTCTTTTACTATTAATTGTACTCTATTGTTGTGAGGTTCGCAAGTAATGTACCGTGTAGAAATTTTTAATTTTAAATTTAGATTTTAATTAACTAAATGCAGAATTTTCCGATTTAAGGCATCGTTTTTCAATCAATCACCGACATGTTATACCTTATTTCTAAAAAAGTACAAAAGGGAACAAAAATTACCTCTAGTTAATTGGATAAAAACTAGGAATAGTTAAAAGTCCATAAATTTCGGATCTCTTTAAAAAAACGTTTCATTTTATAGGCCAATTGAATGTTTAGTTTCACTTGTTTTTATAACTGTTTTAAATAGATTTCACTGATTAAATTGATTGATTTCAATGCACTTAGAATAATGTTAAATAAATATATATGTTTCCATTCATTATTAAAATGATTTCAAAGCACTTAGAATAATGAAAAAAATAAATATACATGTTTCCATTCATTATTAAAATGATTAATGAAACAATAAATATATATGCCTTCTTTCATTATTAAAATGACTTCAAAACAATTATAGTAGAGAAATAAATGCACATGTTTCCATTCATTATTTAATTGATTTCATAGTATTTAGAATAATATAAAAATAAATATACATGTTTCCATTCATTATTTAATTGGTTTCAAAGCACGTAGAATAATACAAAAATAAATATATATGTTTCCACTAATTACTAAATTGATCACGAAGCACGTTGAATAATGCAAAAATAAATATATATGTTTCTATTTATTATTAAATAGATGGAAATTAGGTATTTTTTGAGAAAATATCAGTATTTACCTTTAAAGCAGGGTTTCTTAACCTGTGGTTCTTGGACCCCTTAGGGGTCCATGGGTCATATTTTGGGGGTCCATCGACTGCTCCTAATTTTTAAAACGTTGGATCAATAATATTTAAATAACATTGATCTTTTTTTCTTTCTAAAAGGTGAAAATACATACATATTTGAAACTAGGTGATCGAGATACCCCAAATTCAGTACGGACTGCACACAGCCCTCTAATATCCCTGTCATATTTTTANCTTAAGATGTGAATTCGACTTAATCAAACCAACTAAAGGACTAAAAAATAATGCCTTGCAGCCAGAATTTAACAAAAATTTCAAGTTAGGAGTACAGTCTCGCAACTCATCTGCTAAATGGAAGTATGGAACTGTTGTTGAAAAACTTGGACGACTTCACTATCTCATTGAATTAGACGACGGTTATGTGATCAAGCGTCACTTTAACCAATTAAGAGCTTTTTCTAGTATATAATAAATGCCACCCCATAATTTGTGATTGAAGATTGGTTCACCTATAATTTTGCTTAGAAATTGTGTAATGGCACGCGACTGGTCATGGGTAGCATTTTGGAAGCCACTATTTTAAGTGGAAGTTGTACCGCCGATCCCAATGATTCGCCTATACCAGGGTTTCTGTGGTTCAAGGACCCCTTAGGGGTCCACCGACTGCTCCTAATTTTTAAAACATTGGATCAATAATATTTAAATAACATTGATATTTTTTTCTTTCTAAAAGGTGAAAATACATACATATTTGAAACTAGGTGATCCCCCAAATTCAGTACAGACTGCACACAGCCCTCTAATATCCCTGTCATATTTTTAACATCCTCCACTAACCGGCTTTCAGTTGTACCATCAGGGGCAACCCCCTGATGACATCCGCTGTACTATTTTTATTATCCCCTATCAAGCTACGTACATTTGACACCTTGTTCAGGTTACTAGATCTAGAATTTTTTACTTAGAAGAAAGCCCAGTTTTTGAAATCTGGAACATTAGACAAACTTGGATTTGGTATTCCACAAAAACCTCTGGTTGAGGCATCTTTCAAAGTTGCATATCATACTGCTAAAAGCAAGAAACCGCATACTTTTGGAGAGACGTTAATTAAGCCATGTGCACTGGAGATGTTTGAATTAGTTTGTAGATTGTGACAGAGAAGAAAAACTTGAGGCAATTCCATTTTCAAATGATGAGACACATTCAAGAATATTTGAAATTTCTTGCAATATCTTGAAAAAGATCATTGATGAATTGAAAGTATCGCCATTTCCCTTTAGTATGCAACTGGATGAAACTACAGATATCTAGAATTATAGTTCTTGTTTTTGCTCGTTACGTGTCTCTTGATACTATCAAAGCACCTGTGATGCTTGGCAATAAATCTGGTTTCGCCCTGTTGGTAAAAAAAGTCTCCTAATGTTCTTGTTACTCATTGTTTCTTACATAAACATGCGCTGGCTACAAAAACTCTTTCAACCAGCTTAAAAGAAGCATTATCAAAAGCTATTAAAATTACTAGACGTAGAGCTCTTAATCATCGTCTCTTTAAAACGGTGTTTCAAGAAATGGACGCAGAACATGAGGTATTTCTGTACAACACGGAATTGCGCTGACTGTCAGGTGGACAGGTTTTGAAACAATTTTTCATGTTGATGATCGAATTATCACTTGTTCTAGAAGAAAAAGATAACTCATTCTTCGAATATTTAAACGAAAAGGATTTTACCTATAAATTGGCTTACCTGGCAGATAATTTTAACCACATGAACAATATANGAAGATCGAATTATCACTTGTTCTAGAAGAAAAAGATAACTCATTCTTCGAATATTTAAACGAAAAAGATTTTACCTGTAAATTGGCTTACCTGGCAGATAATTTTAACCACATGAACAATATAAGCCTTTTAATTCAAGGACCCGATATCACCATTATGGATGGAACCTGAGAAATTACAAGCATTCTAATTGAAGATGCCACTTTGAAAAAAATAGAATTCAAAATGAGATATATGTAAACTTTTAAATGTTGGACGAAGTGCTTTCTGAAAATGGATCTTGGCAAGATAATTTGTTTCTGAATAACTTAAAAAATTAAATCTGTGAACACCTGGAAGTACTTCAAGCTTCATTGAAAAAATATTTTAATTTAGATGAGATAAAGATGAGTTGTGGATTCGCCATCCTTTTCTTTGTGATATTGACTGTATCGATGATATGAACCTTGCCAAATATGACCTTATTGATCTTAGAACAAAGTCCTTGCTAAAAATGGATTTCGATTCAAAAACACCCAGAGAGTTATGGTCTTCTGTGAAAGAAGCCTACCCATTGCTTGTAAAGCGAGCTATTTCAGCTATAATTCCGTTAGCTACAGTGTATCTTAACGAACCCGGACTTTCCACAGTTGTGACAATAAAAACAGAACATCATTATCGATTGAATGTTGAACATGTTATGCTCGTTGCTTTGTCGAAAACCATCCCTCTATTCAATTTATTAATTAAGGAAAAGCAGCAACTACTTTCAGACTAAAAATTTTAAATATTTTGTATACTATTAAAATAATAAAATTAAATGCTAAAATAAATTAAATACTAAAAATTGATGTTTTTTGCAATTTTTTTTCTCAGAAGGGTGGTCCTTGACTTCTTAAAAACCTTTAAAAGGGGTCCATTGTATCAAAAAGGTTAAGAAACACTGGCCTATACCATTCAAACGTTTGCAATTTCCAATCCGCTTAACATCTGCTATGACTATTAATAAGTCACAAGGTCAAACAATGACAATTTGCGGCTTAGATTTAGAAAACCCGTGCTTTTCTCACGGTCAATTATATGTTGCGTGACCCAGAGTTGGAAACGATAACTTAACATTACGATAACTTAAGTTTTTTTTAATTGAAAAAATATATCTGTTATAAAATAGTTTTCACTTTTTTAACTTTAATTAAAATAAGTTTAAGTTTTGATTTAAAACAACCTCTACATTTAACTTCGCTGATAGTATACACATACTCACACGCTATGATTGGTCGAATTGTGATAAGATATATGTAATGACGTTAGATAATATGATAACTTTTTAATAAAAATTTGCATCAAAACGATCCAGATTGTTACAGCTTATTCAAAAAAATGTTCCAATTAAAGACGTGTGTACAGGACATCGTCTGTCGGGTCAGCTAGATTATGTATAAAATTATAGCTGCATTTATTATAAAAGTAATTCCAAACATACCTTACCACATGCTTTCTTAAGTTTAATAGCTACTGATAAAATCCGTTAATTTTAACTGAGTTTTTATTTGAAATGCAAACAAAAAGCAAAATGGGAAAGGGATTTTACTGCTTTTTCGAAAATCAATTAAAGGTGATTTCCCCCATAAAATGCGTTAATAGTTTGAAATGTTTCGAAATATTTTGGGAAATAGGAAAGTGGATCTCAATGATTACTTCGTTAAATAGAAAATTCACTTCATTATTTGGAAGTCATTTTACAAAGAAATTTCCAAAATGTTCTTGGTTTCTCAAAAGAAATCACAAAATAGAGAAATTCGCAAACTGGAAGTTCGTTAAATAGAAGTCCAACTGTAAATGGGTTTACAATTTGTATACTTTATTTACAAAGTTGGGGTTCAACTGATAGAAGGTTGAGCACTTAAGGTTCTATTGCTGGAAAAAAAATTGGGAAACACGGCTTTAGATAAAATACCGTAATAGGAAAGATATTACAAATAATATTATACAAAAAGACTATATATAATTGAACACAAACGAGTAAATGGGTGAATATTTTTTATTTACATACAATATAAAATTTCTAGCTTATTTCTGAAAATTGTTTTCTTACATCTTTTTTTGCTAAACTAGCTTTTCTTTTACAGTGTTTCTTGGACTGCAGATGAACTGAAATAAAAATGATTTTGTTATTTAATGGCTCATAAAAAAAAAGGGTCTAAATCTACATATGTATGAGATTCACATCATTTAACTGTCAATTTATTTGCAACAGCCACTCAAAAATACACTTTAAGAAATAAAAGTTTAAAATATAATTAGAGGACACAGTTAACAAATCACATATTTCTTAGCGACATGTAGTTCCAATATTGTCTGTAAATAATTAACTAAAAGCACACATTTGTTATTACACACAAATTCGTTATATGTTTTTCTTAAATTTGTGTGCGCTACATATTTTTATAAGCAGTAGTTTTAGAATGAATCTACTTTAGTAAAAAACTACAAACTTGTAATCTTAATGAATAGTACTTTCTATAAAAATAAAAGAAGTTAAATTTTTTAGATTTTTATTAAAACATAATTTGGATTTATCATAATACTTTTTTTAAAATAACTTGTTAAATCTTTAATAAGTATAATTTTATACACGAATATTTGTGGGAAACAGATTTAAAGCAAGCAATTCTTTGAAAAGTAATTCCATAACAATCATGTATGCATTCAAAGCATTGTTTTTTAAGTTAAAAAAATTCAAAGCTCCATTCCATTTGAAATATCATTGCCTACATGATGTTATATAATTTTTTTTTGTAAATCTGTTTGATTGATAATGGCAGCAACATTCATTATTAATTGCTGTGATTACACATTTTCTAGCTTTTTTAAAATACCTTTATTTTTTCTAATCAAACAATATTTAAATTAAATTAATGAGTTAATTCATAGAATATTCAATGCAATTCACTGCCACACACCTAATATCCAATTATGGTTACAATCATTCTCACAGCGATCGTCAAAGTACAAACCTTTACTTTTTTATATTTTGATCTTCAGGGTTGCCACTGTGTTTTCCCTGTACACACTATATTAAGAGGATACAACAATTACTGCTATATTAGGCTAACTATATTTATTAGTTGCTGGAAACATGCTGCAGTAAATAAAGTAGTTTAATATAGCTGAAATCTCATAGATTACACTTTGAGTGAGTCACCATTTTTTAAAAGAATCAAAATTTCCTGTATCTTCCCAGTTTGTAAAGAAAAAATCAAGACTCCCTGTAGTTTTTCCTGTTCTCCCTGTTCAACCCTGATCTCTTCTCCTGTGTCTGTTAGGAACAAATTAATTCAATTTAAATCTGTGGCGACTTTGCGGGCCTTCCAGTCTCAACCGTTGAATATTATTCATGCTAATAAAATCTCTCGATGCTTGCTTGCTTAAAATAAAAAGTTACTTGTAAGTTATCCATTATTTTTATTTAATCAGTGTGAGTCCAACTCAAAAATTTTGAAAATTCCCTAAGTAACATCATTCATGAGGCAGTCAAGTTTACTTTTATCTTCAGTCACATTTATTATTCTAGAAGAAAAAATATTTACAAATGAAAGAGAGCATAAATTCTAGTTCTAATATTTTTAAATAAAATATTCAACTATTTTTATACATAAATGTGATCAATCATTTCTTGAAACTTCTGGACCTTGGATTTTCAGAAACCTTCGGAGCACAATCATCTATGTTTAATAAAAAATAAAAATTTCCCTTCTGGAAAAATTTTACGCTTATATTAAATCTATTGTTTACATTTCAAGTAAATATCTAAAAATTTCACACAACTTACGACAGATTTACACTGTAAATCACTTAATAAATGGCAGGTAACAAAGTGGAATAAAGTAACAAAGGGGAAGGCTGACACAGAAAAGCTAAATGTTCTTACATTTAATATTAATAATTATACATATTACTATCTAATATTAAGCTTCAAATGAAATTGAAAAAAAAAAATTTATTTCTCATTTTTTTAATCATTTAAATTTAATCAAAAAAATTCAGAAGCATTAAAAATCGATAATTCTTGACTTACAATGTAGTTTTTATAAGTATAGTAACAGAGCAAAAAAAGCGATTTAATTTACTTGTTGTGTTGAAACATACAAAAGCAAAATTTGATCTATCTGTGACGATATAAGACATTCTTGAGCTACCTTTTGATAGCTCTCCCCATATTGTGCCTCGAAAGTACTTTAATGAAAAGTTGATTTGCGACTCCTCGCATTGTTGCATCTCAATTACACAGTTTCTGTACAGTCCGCAAAAAAAAACGAATCACCCTGAATAACTTTCGTTCTAATGATCGGATTTTCACGAACTAAGTGTCAATCTTAATGGTTCCTGGGGGTGACCTCAAATATGTTAATTAATTAGTGCTAACTATTAATTAAGTTACGAAATCAGACACAAAAACGTACTTTCTCTGAATAAACATATATTTTTTCTTACATATTTGGATTCTTAACCTTCAAAATATAGGGGGTAGCCGCAATCTGGGAAATATGGTCCCCATAGTTTGGTCAGGAGAGCGATCCAAAGTTCGTACCCCTTAATGTTAATTTCACTTTTTACGTTTTTAGTCATATTTTAAAAACTAATAAAGCAATTCGAAGAAAATTTCACCCAGTCATAAAACTCATTTACCCAAAGATAATTTCACGAAAAAAATAATTTTTAATAATTGTTAATTATTTTTTATTATTTAATTAAATTAAGGATGAAAAATTTTTGAATTATAAGGTATGAATTTTTTTATACCATATTAATCTACATATTTTTCAATTGAAAAATCTAAAGTTTCAACTGTTTTTATTTATTAGAAGCTGAGAAAAATTAAAATTAATTATTTTTAAAAAAATAATTTGGCGACAATGAAGAAATGATTAAATGGAGCGATTAATATTAAAATGTGATAAACTTGCGAGGAACTTGACTTCGCGCGCTTAGCATAAAATTTCATTCATATTTTTTTCGCTAATAATCGTTTGCTTATCTTTTCATTTTTATTTTTTTAAGCTATAAAATACGATGTTTCTTCTTTAGTCGTCTAAAATTCTATTTGCAATTTAGTAAAGAAATTTGAATAAAACATTTTATTGAATAAAATACATTTTATTCAGAGAATGTGGAGTTTTATAAAAGCATGCTTCTGATAGAATATGATTATACAACAGATTGTGCTTCTTTAATGTGATTTTTTTTTATTTTTTTTTTCTCAATAACTGATAAAATTTCAATAATATACATACGAATGAATAAATTTGGAATAAAATATTCATCAATTTCTTGAATATATATTTTATAAATATTAATAAAAATACGCAGTCAACATTTTTAAGCATCTCTCACAACATCGCAAATTTCTCAAAATCTTATAGGGTAAACTAACCAGTGAAGGAATACTTAAGCTTAGCTTGTCTTTAAAAAAAAATCATAAAAATTTCAAAATTTGTAATTTTAGCTAAATGACGTATTTGTTATTAAATGCATGTCGACATATTTGTTATTAAATGCAAATTATGTAAAAAAAATTTAGATAACTTACATAATATTGTTTTAAGCTTTTGGTGGTTTAAATAATAAGTAGTAAGATAACCAAGTGAAGGAACAGTTCTTAAATTGAATAAACACTAAATTTTCCAGTGAATGAACACTTAATTTTGAGAATGTTTGATGCTCGTTAGGAATCCTTAGGCCACACAGATATCTGTCGCCCTGTAGATGCCTGAATTGACGGATGTTAACACAGGCGGGCATTAGGAAAAAAAAATCTTTTAAGTTTTCGTGCCCCCATTTCAGTATCTTAAGGGCCTTACGAGCTCTGTTTAAAAAGAGAGTATCATATCAGATATATATATATATATAAGAAAACAAAAATAATCATAGTAGCAGTATTTGGTGGTAAATGTAGCTTATCGTAATTGAAGAATATGCTGTGCGACATTTTATGGTGAATTTGCGAACGTAAGTTTCAGAATGTATCGAAACATGTGGATGCTATTTGCTAATCATCTTTATCCAAAGAAAACCATGTAACGTAAATATCTAGCAAAATGAAGCAATTTTTTAAACAATGAATCATACAATATGCAACATATTATTTCTATATCTTATTCTTAAACATAACATATTTCAATGTTTTTAAAATGCCACTAAACATTCAGCAATTCATTGAGTTATAGAAAAAAGAAATCGTAAATTACAGAAAACCTTGTGAATGTGCATTAGAATTACTATACAATCTACATTTTATTTTTCATGCACTTTTTTTTCCTTCAAACTTTCATGCCTAGAAGACTCGATTAAAGCTGTAAAAATCATTATCCCTAAAATTTTGTATATAGCTATTATAAGTTATGTTAATTTGATTTTAGTATGAAATCCTCGAATAAACATAGCAAAAATAGCATAATCTAAATAATATCAGATAAAAAGTTCATGTATTTAAATTCTGAAAACTTATAAATCGATTCAAATTTTCTTTTCAAAAGAGATTAAAATAATTTTTTATTTTATTTATTTATTTATTTTTTTTGCTTTTTGGACATAAATGAACTTAAAAATTGTCTATTGCCTAGAAACTTCGAGGTGTTTTCTATTAACTATTAATTAAACCTCTCAGAGCAATCACAAAACATTATTTCAATTTTTTTACAGTCAGAAATTGGTTGCCTAGCAACCTAGTAAAATTAAGCGTTTCTCTTTTGAATCAGTCAATGGGTTATCTTAAAATATTTATTTGCGCAGGCGACTTTTTTTGGCGGTTTTCTGGACTATCGCCAAATATATAAACCTTTATTGCAACCCAATTTACGACCCAATTGTTTTAAAATTTTGTCTACCCCCCCTAATTCAAGTGTCTAGATTCCAAATATGTAAAAAAAAATATATGTTTATTCAGAGAAAGTACGTTTTTGTGTCTGATTTCGTAACTTAATTAATAGTTAGCACTAATTAATTAGCATATTTGAGGTCACCCCCAGGAACCATTAAGATTGACACTTAGTTCGTGAAAATCCGATCATTAGAACGAAAGTTATTCAGGGTGATTCGTTTTTTTTTTGCGGACTGTACATACTCGGCTGCAACAGAGGAAAGACAGCTCTTTCGCAAATTTGGTAACTAGTGGTATCCATTCACTGAATATTATTCCGTATATATTAAAAACATCAATTCACTAGTATATAAGACATGGAATGTTTACAATGAAACTATGAAGAATTTCGTTAATCTTTTGGATTCTTGAAACATAATTAGATGGAAAAAAATTTATTTTTTCGACCTACCTAGGTGTATATGCCCCCTTAAATAATTTTTAAAATATTTTATTTCCTTTGTAAACTATCAAATTTTTTTATTATTTGCTTCAATTTGGGGTGGGGTGGATCCGCCACTGCTGCCTATGGTGAGTCATATCGACAAAGTCAACCTTCGTCTATGAAAAGGAACCCCAACATAGAATCGAGTTAGCATGTCATATATGCTAGTGAATTGGAATTGTATTTTTGTAGTGGTAGATAACACTACACTCACCATTAAAACAATAAATTTAAAGCAATTATACTAGTAAAAGAGTAAATAAAGCAGTCTTAGCTTGTTAAAGCATTATACGAAAAAAATAATAATGAAGCAGCTTCCTTATTTAAAAATAGAACATCCAAGAAGCCATGGGATGCATTTTTTGCTAACTCAACATAAATAATTTAATGCAATAATTATAATATGGCAGATTAGTGAAATATATGATGCCTTTAATGATAGAATAAAACTTAATAAACACACACATGAAGTTTTAATTTTAGGTGTGAGGCCAACTCAGATTTAGTCCATAACATTAATGGCCGCACTCATTTATAAATACTTTTAGCGATTTTAAATATTATCTCTTAATGAAATGATAAACATTTAAAATTTTGTGTCTGCAGTTTTCTATTTTAAACATTATATGTCACTCAGGAGCCTGGCATTATTAAACAACAAAGAATAAAATGGACACGTTATCAGAATGGACGAAGACCGCACCACAAAAAGAGATTTCAATGCGGCACACTGAAAAAGGCAGAATTTGAGATGGATAGATGACTTACAAAAAGACCTTTTGGTCTTAAGCTGAAAAACACTAGCAGGAAAAAACTTTTCGAGAACCCTGGGCTATCGAGTCATTGACATGTCACTCAGAGCAATATATATATATTAACTGCTTGAATACACGTTAAAGATTGTCTATTTGGAGGAAAATTAAATTACAAATGTATAACTTTTTAACAAACTCACCATAATCCATGTATGCAAATACTAAATGTAAAAGACTCACTTTGCCAAGTTTGACGACCCACTAAAATTTTCTCACAAACTTCACAAAAATGTGTTTCTTGGACATCATTAGTTCCTTCCTCAATGGGCAATGCTTTGTAAACAGTCTTGTTCTAAAACAAATACCAGTCATTTTTGAAGGGCATCTAACGAACATTTCTTTTATAAATGATTAAATAACATAATTTTAGTCATTAATGAAACCTCTATGATATCAAGGGAAAAAAAAAGCACAATAGTAATCTATAAAAATACTTCAGTTAAATAAAAAACTGACTAAGAGCTATTAAATAAAAATTAAGTCGTGAAGTGGATAAAAAGAGAGAGGGAAATAAAAAAATATCCCTTTGATTCTTAAAACAAGTTTTTAATGCTAAAAATAATATTTTTCTGAACAAAAGTATCCAAAAAAAAAAAAAAAAAAAAAAAAAAAAAAAAATTAAAANAAAAAAAAAAATTTCTGAAAACGAACATCTTAGCTTTTCTATTACTGTATTTTCAAGGAAAACTGAAAACAAAAGAATAAAGTCTAAAAGAAACCATCTTAATTTTCATGTCATAATAAAAACAGATATTTTTTAAAATGAAAACACCTAGATAGAAACCAGAGCAAAAATCGTAAACAAAAGAATCAAGTCTAATAGAAAGGATCTTAATGTCTCTGTCATAAAAACCACAGTTTTTTTTAAAAGAAAAAAAGCTAAGTAGAAATCAGAAAAAAAGAAAGCCTAAAAGCTCTTAATAATGAAAAAAAAAGTTTTTTAAAAAAAGAAAATTACTAGAAAGAAACCAAAACAAAAATCGATAGTTTTTCATTAGAAAAAAAAATGGTTAAAATGGCTAACCTCTATAAATGAGTTGACAATGTCAATAGCAGGCTGTTCAACATTTTCTTCCCATAAGCTCAAATCAGTCACATCAAGACCATAAACGGGTGGAACCTGTCTGTCTGGTTCTGCAATAAAAAAATTTATAAAACTAGGAGAGTGACTTACTAACAAAATTCCTGATGAAAAATAAAGAAACCCTGAGAGTTAACAAAGCATAAGAAATAGTGTGTATCACATCGCATTTATTATTGAAATAATTTCAAATGAAGATAAGATATAAAAAAGAAATAAAACACATACAATTTGAATACACACAAAACGAAATCCTTCACAGGCATTAATTTAAATCCAAAATTTTATATTATTTAAATTTCAGTTACGTAAAAGCTATTAAATGAATGCAGAAGCAAAGTTCTGAGTAAGAACACATAAAAAATAAGAAATTAATAAAATAAATCAGTTTAAAATTGAACACAACTTGTTAGTAATTCTTCCGTATTATTTATTTTTAAAAAAAAAAAAAAAAAAAAAAAAAAAAAAAATAAAAGGAAAAAATCTTATTAAGTACAATACAAAAAATTGAACACAACTTGAAGTAATTCTTCTGCTTAAGTTTTTACAAAAAAAAAAAAAAAAAAAAAAAAAAAAAAAAAAAAAAAAAAAAANTCAAAAAAAATCTTATTTTTATTTGCTTTACTTTATTTTTAATGCCCTGTGACATTTTTTCCCCTCTGGTCACCCGGAATATTTTGTGCAGGGCTACTGAATGATGCCTGTACTTTTCTAGGATTTCCACTACAATTATCCATAAAAATAGTTGCTTTAGTAATCTTAAATATAAAAAATAAATAATCTGCACAGAAAAATAATTAAGTTGGTTTTTTTCTCCATGGTGTAGCCTTTTGGTTAATTATTAAAATAAACCACCTCAAAAAATGCATGGCATGACATATCTGCATAAAACAATAACTTCAAACATTAATTAGTCTAGTATTTATAAGAAATTCAAAACTTATCTATTAGACCCAACCCTCTTTTTTTTCATTTTTCTAACCTTCTCTTTTACATTTCATAAGTTTCTACTTAGTCCATTTACCAATTGAACAACTGCTTTTTTAAAAATAAACCATTTTCCTTACTTTTTACAATGTATATAAAACAATATAAAAAAAGCAATCTACAATAATATAATTTATAATATATATATAAAAAAAAAGATTGTTTGAGGTTCAAGATAATTAAATCTATTTTAATTCCAGAAAGCAACTATAAATTAAATACCTGTGAAAAATAAAAAAGAACTGCACATTGCACTTAAATTATTCCCCCCCTCCCCGATTCATAAGGGTAATTCTGGTAAAAAGAACAAAAAAAAAAGAAAAAAAAAAAAAAATCTGAAAACAGAAATTCACTGATTTTAAGAGTGAAACACATTTGAAATAATACAGGGATGATTGTGACTTCACAAAAACCAGGGATGGCAAGTTTTTTCTAAAGTGGAAAAACCACTTGGAAAAAAAAAATTCTTTTAAACCAAGAACTTTTTTTAAAAGAAAGTTTTAAATTAAAATTTCAAACTGTTATAATTGAAATCTAGATTAAACAATAATGTTAATCTTCAAGCCAATTGATAAATAATTTTTAACTAAATACAAATAAAAAAGCTCGAATTTGAAAAAACTTTATGCATATTAATAAGGATAAAAAAGTGAATAACAGAAGTGTATAATAACAGTTCAGTTTAGTGATACAAACATTATTACTTTCATAAGTAAATATATCTTTGATAATTCATTGAAGCATTTCTTTACTGCTGTATTGGATCCATGAATTTCCTCAAATCACTCTGAAGTACAAAGGATTGAAATAGATCTTTGAAAAACCATTCACAAATAGGGTAGTATGTAATACAGGATGCATAGCCAGATTTTCAACAAAAAATAAGCATCTTTTAAGCACTCAATATATATTTTTAATCTGTTTCAAAAAAAAAATAAATCATAATTAGGGTCTGTTCAGTAATAATTTTTTTCTCTCTATAATTTAAAGTTCTTAATTTATAAACATAAAATCAATAAAATTCAAGAACATTTTCAAAAACTTAACATAATCATGATAAAATTATTAGTTTCTGATGAATATTGCAGAGAAAATTGGGAAAAATCCTGCCTTTTTTTTGTAATTTAAAACGACAATCGACACGACAAAGAAAAATAACCTCTTATTAAAAGACAGAAAATTAAGCACTTTTTACAAACCCTGAATAAAAAAGCACTTTAAAGGCTTTTAAAAAACATAAATAAAAAATAAATACCTTTAAGCACTTTTTAAGAATGCTACGCACCCTATAATATTTTGAAAATCAATAGAAAAAAAAAAGCAAAGCATCATCAATTAAAAAATATTATTATGTGAAAAAGCAGCTTTCCACGTACACAAAAAAAGTGCAAAATAAAAGGAACAAAATATATGAGAGCAGTTCAAACAAGCAAATGGAAGACTGTTTTTCAATTTTTTGTTATTTAAGTAACGTTTAAAGGGCATGGTTGGCTTTTTTCTACATACACAAGACCACTGTTGGGACTGGAAAATCGTACTTTGTTTGAAACTAGTGTATAAACACAGATAAAGGACTAATTACATCATAAACATACTTACAAATTTGTTACATTATAAAGATGAAAATCATGAAAGGTATTTTATTACAGATTTGAACCTAATTTAGGAAGTTAAGTAACATGATATAAAATTCTTCTTTTTTTTGAATTTATGAGATAAACTTAAAAATATAAATGAAAATAGTAATTAGAAGACATAAGTGGTAACAACCACTCTGAGAAATCTTCATTGACAAATTTAGTCTGAATTCATAGGGAATGCATAAATTCATAGAGTAAAAAATAATTTTTATTGTTACTTACACACTGTATCAGGGGTGGCCAACCTGCGGCTCTTTGAAGGATTATTTGTGGCTCTCGATAAATGTACCCGAGTTCCCTTTTCATTTTTGTGCTATTATATTTTTAAAAAAATTATTATCGTTCCTTGACGAATCGACAGATATCACAGATCTTAGAAGCACTTCAAGAGTAAACTTGAGGTGTCGATATTAAACATGTATTAGATTCCATAATGAAACTATTCATGTGCTTCTTAATAATCTTGTAAGCATTACAACTGATAGAGCTTCGGCAATGCTGGGTAAAAAAAAAAATTGGTCTTATTGGGGTTTTAAGAGATGATTCTCAAATTCCACAATTCATACCGATTCACTGCATAATTCACCGAGAATATCTCGTTACAAAATATTTAAAACAACCTGATGTTATGAAAACAGTGCTACACATTGTAAATTAGATTCGCACTAATGCGAAAAATCATCGACAATTAAAAATTTCCTTAAAGAATTAAAAGATGAAGAACTTCCAAATGACATTAATTTATTTTGCATTGTTAGATGGTTATCTAGCTACAACGTATTAAATTGCTTTTGTTTGATCTGATAACTACATTTCTAAAAGAAAAGGATATTACCTATTCAGAATTAGACTATAACAAGTAGTTACAAGACTTAATGTTTTAACTGATGTCATGGAACATTTGAAAACAATGAATTTACAATTGCAGGGAAAAGATAAAATAATATCTGATCTCTCATAGTGTACATTTAGTTTTCAATCTAAATTATAATTTTTTCAAAAAGTCATTAAAAATAAAACATTTTGTCATTTTCCTCGAATTAAAAAAAATTTGTTCCAATATTAAACAAGAAAAACTCAACGAGTATACAAAAAAACAAAATGAAATATTGATTGAATTCCAAAATAGATTTCAAAGTCTCTCAATTTTTTTCTGAATCCATTTGAAATTAACATAATTTAAGGTGAGTTTTCCATCTCTAATATAATTATGACCCAAAAAGCATCTGGAGAATTAGAAATAGAGATGCAAGAAGATCAAACTCTACAATTAAGTCGATGTCGATTACTGAATTTTGGAAATTTGTACCAAAATTGAAGTATCCTGAATTAAAAAATGCTGCTTGTGGAATTATTCCGAGCAACATACTTATGTGAATCACTTTATTCTAGTTTAAAATTCGTGAAACACCAATCAGTATTAACTAAAAAGCATCTCAAAGAATTACTAACAAGTGCTGTCACCAATTATTCCCTGATTATTAATGTAAAAATATTTTTTTCATACCTTTTAAATACGTATTTAATTGCGGCTCGAGAAAAATGGCTCGACTATCAAGAAGCTTGGCCACCCCTGCACTGTATAATATTTTCTTTTCCAAAAGTTTTCTTTGAGAATTAAAAAGATTTCTGTTTACATGTCATTCAAACTGTTTTACATGTTTTGGAAGGAAAATTAGTAGAAGTGTTTAGCCAGAAAAAATAATAATTTTTTTAAAAATTTGTTTTAATTAGTTAATGTAAAAACAAAATACTACAAGAACAGGAAATCTTTTTATTAATGAGGACAGGTGCTACGATAATTGCATACCTGACAACATTGAAGAAATAAAATAACAGAGATTCAACTAGCGATATTTTTCAGGCTACAAGTAAAATTTTGATACATCATGCAAGTCAAAAAGAGAAATTCAAAATTGGAAATGCACTTACATTTAGCGAAGTAAAAAATTATAATTTTTTTAAAACCATTATTTATAATTACTTTAACTATTAACACTCAACATACTGCAGCTCCATCTGCTGAGAAAAAAAGAAGTACTTTTTGCCATCAGCAAATATTTTATCCCAAACTTACTTTTTTTCTTCAACAAATATGGAGAAATTTGAGAATAAACTGGTAAACAGGAGATAGTCGTAAAATACAGGAGTCTTCGTTAACAAACAGGAGACTTGGCAGGTATGCAATTGTAAATACAAAAGTTAAAAAAAAAGCAAGAGCTTAATAGTCACACACTTATACATAATCAAATCTCGACCTTCACATATTTGTTTTGTCACTCTTATTTGTGTGGATAAAACAGTTAAAAGTCTAACCACTTATTGAAACATGAAACTGAAAATAGAAATCGTCAGTTTTTATTTGGTGATATCACAAATTAGCTAGATAATAGATCAAAAGTTGCCCTAAATAATAGGTCAATAAGATCTCTTTTATAAATAGGTAATAAAGAAAATCAAATTCTAAGAATACAATACTTAAGATAGATTAGAGATACTTATAAATACCAACTTCTTAAAAACCTGTTAACAATCCACTTTCTTTGTTTTCTTGCATATTGTCTGGTAGCTAACTTCATATCTTCAATTGCTGTAAAAAAGATGAAAACCTGCTTTAAACCTTTAGAACAGACACAACAATTTTAAGTCTTATTCTCATAGAAACTCATAAAATTTATATAAAAAGAGAGAGAGATATAAGAATAAAAAAGCATAGTTAACTGTTAATTATGATGCATCATTGAAACTAAATTACCCTGCGGCAGAATTTTTTCGGACTTTCAGCGACATACTTCTCTAATATTGATATCTTTCTGCAAGATACTTATGAAAATAACAAATATACATGTTACTAATTTTAAGTAACAGAAGCGTCAACTTCAAAAATTTTTTTTTTCTTTTTCTGATCAAATAAAATAATTTTTTTAAATTGAATATGTAATAGTTTTTTACTCCAAAATTATGGGCAATATTGTCACATTTTGTAGGGGGATAACACACGATTTCTTTTTTCACATTTCGTAATTTATCATCACATTAAAAATAATAAAAAAATGTAGAGATCCGTAGCAGTAGTAACTACCGGAAAAAAGAAAAGATCGATGACGAAATCACACGAATCACAGACTCTTCAAAAAGGGGTTACTAAAATGAGTATTTTCACTTCGGAATTCAGTTGTTCTAATAAATAATATGGTATTAAAAATATCACATTAAATCAATAGTAATAACAGCATAAAAAATAGAATGAAAATTTCTACAGAAAAGAAAACCAAATTTCTCAATTCATTATTTCTTTATTTTCCATTATTCTCAAATGAAAATAGAAAAACCATAAGAATTTTTTCCAACTCCAATGTGCGAGAAAGGCATCTTTTGAATATAATTCTGAAGAAAAAATAAAATCTTTTAAAATTTCTGCAGAAAAGAAAACTAAACTTTTTATTTCCCAAAGGAAAAATCTTTCTGCAAGAACTCTGAAACGTTCTACGACAATGTCGGCGCATCGCCACAATTCTCCCACTAGGGCTAAATTATGTTTCTAAATTGTAGGCACTACTGGCACAAATTAATAAGCATAGTTAAAACAAAAATATATAAGAGTTTTTAACCTTCCATTTTTGACATACTTAAAGCTCAGTTTATTTCAGCTTTTGATTGCCCAAAGTATATTTATTTCATTCAAAAATTTGTATTTATTTATGTTTAAGTGCTCATGCTTATTGCCCACTCTCTTGATATTTCAGCCTTCAGTTATTTGTTGTTAATGCAAAAAAAAAAAGTTTTTATAACAATATATACAAAAAAGAGAGAGAGAGAGAAAAAAACTGATTTTGCCATAAATTTTTTTAAACTCCAATGCCAATCAGTGTTTTAAGTGTGGGTAATTTTCATGTTTTGGTGCCATTTGTTGTCCATCTTATAAGTATTTATTTCAGAAATTCTGAGAAACTTTAAAAATTTTTCCTTTGTGTCATACTTATAAACAAACAGTTTCTACTATAGAGAGTACAATGTTTTAAGATAATTAAATAAAGCATTTAATAGCATTTTAAGAAAATCAAATAAAGGGAAATTAAAAATAGTTGTCCAAAACGAAAATACTAAAACGTTATTATAGTTTGTCTAAAGTAATAACTCCCCTAGCCATTCGTCTGATCCCGTAGCGGTGACTATGGTAACGAGGCATAACTATTTCAAGTAGGGGTGTGGAGACACTGTTTAGGGTCGGGTCGACGAGAGAAAGGCAATCTTTTTCTTTGGTCCATTGTGTTAGCCCTAGAGTGAAGAGAAGCTACCCTCCCTGAAATGCACTATTCTTGTTTCATAGCAGCAGATGGTCTTAGACTTTGTGGTGGAGGGAGTTCTTATCGTAGACAAATTATACACAAATTCCATTCCAATAATTAAGCTTTCTACTCAGTTGCATTTTACAATTGTGAAACAATTGTCAAAATTACATTAAAATAAGATTATAATAAATAAGAAGTAAATTTTTAATTAATAAAATACAACTGTCCAGAAATTAGTGTCATGCCTGCTATCATATGCATATACATTTTTAGAACTGCACAAATGGAATTCCTTAATAGTAACACTTATATAGCAGTGAAAAATGCAGTTTTAGCATTTTGTATTTTTCTGCTACGTTACCTTAATTAGTTGTAAAAAATAAATATATTTTTCCGCTTTTTTCTGCAATATAATTTTGTTCAGTGAGATTTTATTCTGAATCAAATAAAATATTCAAAAGAATTATTTTGCCAAAAAAAATTTTTTTCTTTGAAATGTCATGCCTGTTACTGTATTTAGGGGCAGATATGACCTATGCGGTAACATGTTACAACGCTAAAATTAAGAAAAGATTTGCCCTTTTTAGAACGAATTTTAAGCAGAATGTGGAATTCAGATTCTTAATCGTTAAAAAAAAATTATCTTTACCCAAATTTTTTTAATATCTATTTTAACATTTTTTATATATTAATTTTAATGTTTCATAATAATTTTGGTGAATCATATTCTAAGAACATTACAAAAAGTTTGAAACATATTGCACTTCTATGAAATATTATAATTATGAATGTCAAATGCAGTCAAGTGTTGTATTCCTTACCTTCAAAATTAAGCAAAGTCTTAAAGTCAAATGGGAATTGGCGAACAAATTGTTTCAAGAAAAAGATATTTAGCAAGGCAACAATAAATTTAAAAAAAAAAGACTTTTGCATTTAACATGATGAAAAGGCAAAATAGATATATTTTAGAGGATTTAACGAAAAATATTTCTGTGAAGATTTCATTCAATGTGTATACTAGACTAGGTCCATTTTCTGAATATTTTTCAAGCCAGGGAATAAAATAAAATAGAAGTGTAGGTCAAATAAATAAAATAAGCAACATGAACTATCACAGCTAAAAGAAAAGAGTCGATAGATATTGTGCAGACTAGCATTTCTGAATTGATAACTAAATTCAACACTGATATGAGCAGATTCGAAAAACACATTTTTAATGTTAGACAACAATATCATCATGCATACCAAAATTGTTAAGAAAACCTTCAAAATAAAGCAATGATTTACATTAACTACTCAGAATATTATATTTGCAAACTTGCTACAGAAAAAAAATTCTACTAAAAGTGCATTATCGGCATTTTTCCTTTTAAGCAAGCTCATAGCTGAGAACAATTTTAAATAAGAATCATTTTATGAGACTGAGATGCAAAGATCGTCTTCACTATTTTGTAATTAAACTTTGAAAAATTTCATATCTGTTATCCCTCATAATTTTCCTCATAAAATGCAAAGTCATGCATTATTAGTACTGTAAAAGGTTCATATAATTTCTTCTTTATCTAATACAAAAACATACAATAAAAGTAAATCTTTAATTATGTTTTACAGTACTTAATGATAAAAAAATACTTTTAGAATCATAACAGATCTGACGAAAACAAGTTTAAAAGAAATTAAGCAATGCTTTCTAAATTTAAAAATCTTAATTTAATCTATAGTAAAACTCTAAAGTTACAATTAATTCTAATATACAACTATTGTGGGCTAAAATTTAAGTGGTTTAATTTAATTAAATATGTCCAGTAACAGACAAGACAATTTTCAACAAATCTGACAAAACTATAGCAATTAAAATATAGTTTAAAAACAAAACTGTACGAAAAACATCAAAATAATATGAAAGATTTATATAAGTTTCATAATTTTTAAGACATGTTTAACAATTTTATTCATCTATACTTTCAAATGGCACCCAATTTTGATACATATACTACTTAATATTATGTATATAATATAATTATCTTCTTAGTCAAAACAGAAGGCTGTATGGAATAGTATTATGAAACAAGACAGGGACCACAAAGGGCTGTAGAGCTATGGAAAAAAGAAATTATAACCAACCAATTTTTGGAGAATTTTTTTAAAATTAAAAATACTAAAACATCTTGAATCATTTTGACAAAAGAAAAAATGATCCGAAGACATTCCATCACAAATTTGATCCTCTGCAGAGGGGATGGCACACCCGCTTTGGTAGCCCGACGACCTGCACGCGAAGTCGAGCACTTTACGGTAGAACAGTTTAACGAGGACCAATACCACACACCCTCGGTCCCTACGCAGACTGATCCAAGTGGTCACTCACCCGCACACTGACCGCAGCCAGTGATGCTTGACTTCAGTGATCTGTGTGACTTCAGTGATCTAAACGATCAGTCCACTGCGGGACCTTATCATTTCAGATAAATAATTAAATTAAATTAAATAATGACCAAAAAACAAAGTAAGATTTAATTTCTTAAAAATAAAAAAATTGTGATATTCGATAATATATTTAGCTAATTAACAAATAATATGAACAGAATATTTTTTTAAAAAAATTATTATACTCTCTAATAAAACAAAGCACCAAGTGATTTAAAAAAATGAATAAAATACGCAAACCTTTCAAATTTTTTTGTATAAACAAAGTTGATTGACTTATGTCTAAATCAAAACGACAAAAATAAATTTCGTTTTAACTTTATTTCTAAAAATGAAAACAACAAAATTTATAAATTTTGTTGTTTTAAGTTTTTAATAAATTAAAAGAAAGTAAAAAAATAACCTAACAAATTCTTTATGGTGCCTAAATTAGATTGCGGATAATTTTCACATTTAAAAATAAAAAGAAGTTTTCTTAAAAAAAGAAACTTATCTAATTTATGAAGAAACTCTTCTTTATATATTTTTTTCAATAGATGGCCTTCAGAACAAGGTAACATCGGCGATCACGAAGTTAGTCCTACTGAAAATAATCTACAAGAAAAGTCGCGGCAAAGAAAAAAAAAGCTAAGAAGTGCGAAAAGGAACATGCGATATAACGATATGTGTTCTCAAAACTCTGATTCTAATTCTACAGCTCACCAATCAAGGCCATTTCAATATAACGAAACGAACATCGTCTTCCACAGTACGAGTCGACATCGGAACGTAAGAGAAGAGTCTTATATCGCTATCTTATATCCTTGTGTGTCTTATATCGCTATGTCGTTTTGCGCTCGTTGTCTTTACTCGACGGCTTAAATCAGATTTATGATGCATCGCCTTGAATGAAAGTCGCTGCATCGTCTTGCCGATATATGCGTTAAATCGATATGCCTTGATACACCGATTTATAGTCCAGTCCTAGTCATTACCATAGTCATTGCAACACAAGCCCAGACAAATGTCTAGGGCATTCTTATTTTAGACAAACTATACATCTGTTCCTTCTTCTTTTGAGTCAAGCTATTTAACACTACACTTAATTTCAAAAATAATAACCAGAACATTTTCTCAGTATGCCCAGTAATACTAAAAAAGAACAGCTTAAGGTCTGAAAAATAACTCAAAAGTTGTCACAAATGACTCTATAAATATTTTATTATAGAATTTTTATCTTTAATTTTTATGATTACATACTGTTCGATAGCAATAGTTTGGCCAAGTTTAAGACTTACTTTAATATATTTTTAAAGACTATTTTTTTATACTTGGATATTAGAAAACAATACCCTGAAGCACACGTTAATCATTAAAAAATAAAATAATTATTTTCAGTTTCTAAGAGACATTTAAGCATAATATTTAAAAAAAAAGCATAAATATTTAAAATAATGAGATTAAAAAATAGATTATGGAAGAGTTTCAACCATTAGTAACTTTCAGGTTTAAGTAAGGACATTATTTTCTTTGACTTCATTAATTCTGTCTTCAGCCTTTTATTTTTTGTTGAAGTAACAGAACAGTTTCTAGAATGTAAGATTCTAATATAAGTTCTTAAATGAAAGAATAAATGTTATGCTTTTTTACTTACTGCTGGATATCATTTATCGAGTTCAATTTAAAAATTTTTTGACCGCACAAGATTTTTTGAGACACACAGAAAATTTTTTTCTTTTTTCTTCCCCCTTTGCGTTTTTATGAGAATTCCTAGACAATACTAGGAAATTGGATAACTCTCATAATATCCAATTTCCTCTCTTCTTTCTGTTAACTATATAAATATAGTACTAATATAGTGCCTTTTATTATGTGTACGTTTTTTTTTCTTATAGAGAATTTAAAAAAATATATATATATATACGAATTAATTAGGAAAATTACGACAAACAAAGATTAAGAGCAAACAATAAAAGTAGCTATTTAAGTAAGGACATAAGATTTACCATGGTTTAAAAGTTTTATTCCTTCAGCACTTTCTTTTTCTTCATCAGACAGAGAAATATAATTATGAAACTCTTTGAACCCTATAGATTGGAATATCCCTTCACTATATTGGTGTTTGCTAAAAAATTTAAGCTATTATTAATAACATAAATTAATGGTTGAATTTTTTTTTTTTTAAAGGACGAAAAAAAAAAAAAAAAAAAAAGNAAAAGAAAAAAAAAAAAAAAAAAAAACAAGTTTGACAATTTTTTTTCAAAACTTAGGTAAAATAACTTTTTAAAGAATAAATCGTTTTTATAAGCAATTTTTGAATGTAACCCCAGAAAAAGGGTTGAATTGGTCATTCTCTGTCTCTTCGTCAATCCCAATGCTGTAAAAAGTAACTTAAATAACTCGAAACACCGAAGGGGTGTATTATTTCCCAAGATTCAAATTATACAAGAATCATATCACGCGGCCGGGCTATATGTTCGTATTGCTATTTCCCGGCATCGGTAACATATAAAGTTTGGATTTTCGCAACACACTTTTGTTCCTTTAAAGAAAAAGAAAGAACATATTTGACAACTGTTTGGAGCAGGATATTGTTAGGAAGTCCCTATACAATTTATTTTCTTCTGAAGAAATCTGAAGACTAATTCTTATGCACATTGAGCTGAACAAATTTCTTCTTAACTTAAAATTCTTTTCCAGCAGGTAAAATATTTTTTCTCACTTATTGTTTATGCAATTAAGCCATAAATGTTCAATGGACAAAATTTACATAGCTGCCAACATGGATAGGGAAAAAATCTAGTAGATTTTATGAAATAATGACAATTGTTGCAAAATATACTAAATATTTTACACACAGGGAATTTTAAGGATTTTTATAGTCATCAAAATAAAAAAACTGCAATATTTTCCTGTTATGATTTCACATTGTATGACAGGGTTGCCACTCTTATCTGGAAAAAAAAATTCACTATGTTTTCCCTGTACACAAAGTACTAAGAAGAACTGTACTTTTTGTAGGTTGGCCTAACTATACTAGTTTTAATTGCTGGAAACACTTTGAGTAAAAAAGGAACAGCTGTTCATACCTAAATAATGCTATAGTAAATCATCCTTATATATTCCGCACTTTGAGTGGTCACCATTATTTAAAAGACTAAAATAAGAAACAAAATTCTCTGTATTTTTCCAGTTATTTTAGGTGATTTTTAAATTCCCTGTGTATGATCTTGAAATGTTATGTATTATGTTTATTCATAATTTTGAATATTAATAGGCATTAAATTCATCAAAGATAGTTAGCTGAATTTTATAAATGAGGCTTGCTTTGATATGTATTAGTGACATTTATTTAAATATTCTAGCCAGCAATAATCTGCACAAAAATTCTATTTCAATAGGGATTTCTCAAGGAAACTTACTCAATTTTAGAGAATTTTCTAAAATATACATAAACTAGGAGATAAAAATACATAACTTTCTAAAATATACATAAACTAGGATACATAAGCTGGAAAATCCAGTAGAGTTGGCAGCTATAAATTTATCATTAGTAATAATTTTGTACCATTATATTTTATCAAATAAGAAGGTTGCCCCATATGCAGTTAAGTGGTGATACAATTTTATATATTATTCCATGACAAAAAGTATTTTCCAATTGCTTGCTGGAAAATGAAGTAAATCGGTTTCTAACATTTCTTACTAACATCACTGCCATCCAGAGTGAGGTAGGAAGCATTATACAAAGCCGCACACTCCTGTGAGTCTGACTCGTTGTCAGTTATCTCACAAGATTGAGTAGTGAAGGCACCATTCCAGTGCAGTTTGGGCCTTGATGGATCCAGGCAATTTGTTTGTCGAATCAAGACGATGTAGATGAATAATACAATTTTATGTATTATTCCATGACAAAAACTATTTTCCAATTGCTTGCTGGAAAATGAAGTAAATCGGTTTCTAACATTTCTTACTATCATCACTGCAATCCAGAGTGAGGTAGGAAGCATTATACAAAGCCACACACTCCTGTGAGTCTGACTCGTTGTCAGTTTGGATCTTGATGGATCCAGGCAATTTGTTTGTCGAATCAAGACGATGTAGACAAATAATACAATTTTATGTATTATTCCATGACAAAAACTATTTTCCAATTGCTTGCTGGAAAATGAAATAAATCGGTTTCTAACATTTCTTACTAACATCACTGCAATCCAGAGTGAGGTAGGAAGCATTATACAAAGCCACACACTCCTGTGAGTCTGACTCGTTGTCAGTTATCTCACAAGATTGAGTAGTGAAGGCACCATTCCAGTGCAGTTTGGGCCTTGATGGATCCAGGCAATTTGCTTGTCGAATCAAGACGATGTAGCGTAGGGCTGCCAACTGTCGAGAAGTGAGATAGTTGAGTGTTCGAGCGTCCGTAGTCACCAATGTGGGGGAGAGTGTGAGAGAGATGCTTGTTGGCAAGATTCGAACCAAGGACCTCTGGGGTCATAGTTGAATGCTCTAACCATCATAGAAAAAGGTGTACAGCTCAGTCCAGGTTGAGAAAGAAAGCTTTATATATAATGGCCTGCCAAGAGAAACATAGCCTTGATCGAAGAGATATTTGAAAACTTTATGATGTCATCACACAATCGCCAGCAGCACTAATGCTTGGAGTTATTCATAAAGTCCTGATTTTGAATGGACACTCCCTTTTTTAACAGATTATTTTTCAAACCCAGGAGAGATTTTGTGCAAATATGTACTTTTATATCTATATTTGGTTTCTTTGGTATGCTTCAAACCATATTATCTGAGTAATTTAACCCAACACATGACAATCAGTTTTTAGACATATCAGGAGACACTTTTCTGCAATCAATGAAACTAGGCATATAATTTTTGTTTGAATCATTTTATTGCGGGATTGCTGAACTATCCCTGTACGCAGGGATCTGTCCAGGCATTTTGTGAAAGGCCAATTTTTGTAAAATTGTGAAAAAATTACTCGTAATTTGTGAATATAAAATAGGGTGCAAATAGGGTCCTGTTATAGCAAAAAACTTTTTCAAGGAGTTTTTAAATTGTAAAGACATACAAGATTACGCTCAACACTGTAAGATTGTAATTAAATGAAATTAAATTTTAAAAAATAAAGAGTAATTGCTGCAACTAAATTAGAGATGCAACATACAAATATCTGGTATTTAGCCCATACTGCTGAGCGCAGAATATTAAATTCAGACGAATAAAGGAAGAAGCTTCTGCCAAAGACAAAACTTAGTTCGTTTACATCTGTCTTTCTCCCCCCCCTTCCTGGGAAGGGTTTATTCGATTAACAAAACAATAATGAAAATAAACAAATTTGTGAAGGTCCGATTAAAAGATAAATTATTTTCTGAAGGGTCCGCTTTAAGTTAAAATATTTTGTGAAGGGTCCGTTTTTATGAAAAGAAATTCTGTGGAGGGTCCGTTAACGTCCTCTAAATTATGGTATAAAATAATAAAAAGAAATAGCATGGAATCTGTAAATTCAGAATAAATATATGCATAATTAACTACTTACTTATTTTTTCCTTTTTTATTGTAACTATTGTGAAATTCAATCAACTCTGAGAGAAGTCCCCTGCTTATCATTTCATCCACTCGATCATCGAGGCGCTTATCCAGGACTGAAAAACCATTTGAATTTTTTTTTTAATACTTTCAGAACATGTTAAGTAATCATTCTTGGAAAATAAATATAATGTACCTGCAGGCCCTGTGGCAGAATTTTTTAGGGCTTCTGCGACGAAACTCTCTAGTACTAATACCAAGATAACTTCAAGATACTTAATAATAACAAACATATATGTTAATCATTTAAAATAATATAAGTGTTGCGTCTGCACAAAAATATACACATAATTGTATTTATTTGAACATGTAATAAATTTTTATTCTAATATTATGGGTGATATTCTCACATTTGGGGGGGGGGCGCACAAATTATTTCCTTCTTTGCATTTTGTAAATAATTATCATATCAAAAAAATAATTGAAAACCATGGAATTGTCAGTAGTAATTGTTGAAAAAGAAAGTGACGATGAAATCAAGCAAATCGGTTTCCTTAAATGCGTGTTTCGTTTTGAGACTAAGTTGTTGTACTAAATAATATTGTATAAAAAATATCGGATTTAAAAACTATGGAGAAATCAATAGCAATTACTTCTGAAAATTCAATAGAAATATTGCCTTAAAAAGTTAATACTCAAATGCACGAATCGAATTTTTCATATTGTTTGAAATACATTGGGATATTTAAAATCCACCATAAAATCAATATCAATAACAGCCGAAAATACAATAAAAATGTTACATGGATTTACGAAACTATTGGCGTAAATTGAGGACGTCAAGTGTTATCTAAATGCATGATTCAAATATTACATGTAAATTTCTATTGAAAAGAAAAGTATTTTTTTTTTGTTACTTTTCAAAAGAAAATCTTTCTGCAAGAAGTCTAACATTCTGTGGCAATGTTGCTGCAATTCTGCTACGGGGTCTACAGGCTAAGTTATCCTCTTAGCTCTACTATAAGTCTTTAATGTACCTTAATTTGAAATGTAAAAAAAAAAAACTGAAATACCGATTTAAAAACTGATGAACAGCAATTACAACTTCATCCAAAAACATTAAGTTTAAACAAAATAAAAGGTAGATTATCTCCCCCCCCCCTCGTATAAACAGCACTAAGAAGGAGACATAAACAATAATGAGTGGAGTGTTTCTTTTACCCAGGGTTGCCACAGAATAAAATGAACGATATAGTTGCTCTTAGTAACCATGAAAACATATTACATGAAAAATATTATTACATGACTTATTAAAAAAAATTCTATAGTTTTTTTTTTTTGTAATCACAGCGATTTTGTTATTTTAAATTTGTAACATATATGTTTGTTATTATTAAAAATATGTTGCAGAAAGATATAATTTTGTTGCAGATTGCTCGAAAAAATTCTGCCACAGGGCTTTAAGTTAGTAATTGTTATAATTAAAAGCATCTGAAAGCAAAATATTAGTGCTAGGGAAGCAGAAAGTCCGAATAAATTCTGTCACCGGAATAAATAACAGTTAGAAAAAAATATCATTTCCAAAGCAAACAATATAATTTTTGTAAGAATTTAATTTTTAATAAATTTACCATGGTTGTGGAATTCTTGCATGAGGTCTAGAAGCAAACTAAAATATAATTTTTCAACATACAATGCTGAAGAGATAAAATTACAAAAAAAATATTTATTAATAAATCATTAACTAATAATTATTCACAGAGATTAACTTGTCATTAATATAAATATCAAATGCAAATTAAATAAACATAATTCATCTGAGCTTCTTCCAGATTTGACATTGATATCAAATGTTAAAATTTAATATTAATAAATTTATTAGAAACTTTGCTATACACAGATACTAGTTGACACACACACACAAAAAAAATATTTTTTTTAAACCCTTTCGCGACGCAAAGCGCGCTTACCGCTGAGGCCGGCAGTCTCTCTAGCATGTGTCTCCCCAGGGCCGGAGGGTTTTTCGATGTTAAGCCTAATTCCATGAAATTACCGAAATATCAGCGCGTTGTTTAATATTGTTCTGTAGAGTATTTAAGTGACATATGCTTTATATATATTTCTATGGATACTTTATTTACTTAAGTTATTTCTTGTTTAAATGTAATATAAATATTAATAAGTTTAAATATTTCGCATAATTTCCTCTATTTCCAGCTCAGTTAAAAATTTTCGACGCTTCGACATTCTAACGGTAAAAAGAAAAAAAATTCAAGCCTACAAGATCTAATTATCCACTAAAAACTAATCCGAAAATCGAAAGTAGCGAGAGAAAAAAAAAACTCCCTTACTTACTGTAAATAAATATCACGTGCTAATTTAAAGAGCCCTCATAAAACATTCCCCCCCTCCACTCCTTCCCCTAAAAACCACGTGAATGTACTTTCATCTTGAGTAGAAGGTCAAATCTACATGTATCTGAAACCATATGGACATACAATGCCATCTTTTGGAAGAAATTTCATTTTTTAAAACGTTCCGAAACGCTGGCACAAATAAGTGACGGTCGGGGGTGAACGAGAAAACTCTCTGACACGCGGGTGTGTCGGTCGGGAAGTGAGCGCGTTTCTTGCTGGCACATATATGTGACAGTCGGCTCGAAAGGGTTAAGAATACTAAATCATCTGACAACAGAAACTAATAAATATGTAAATATTCTCTGAATTCCACAATAGTTAAAATCCTACTTAATCAACTAGATAAAATAATATTTTAAAAAAATAAAATACACAAAATATGACATTAAACGAATAGGATTGTCAAGATTGTCTTAGTGATAAATATTTTTTCATAGTTTTCTTGCTTGTTTATTGATAAAAAAAATCAAAAGCAAATCTGTTAAACATAGTGAATTAAAAAAAATAAGACATATCAGACCTTTAATTATGAAAAAAAAATTAAATTTAAATACTAAAAAGAGAAAAACATAAAAAATTTACATGTTCACAAAACTGAAGTGTTCAAAAACATAATATATTAAGAAATTTTTTATTAAAATATAAAATTAATTATATATTTTAATAAATAAATTAATTTTAATTAAAATATAAAATTAATGTTTTATTAAAGTATAAAAAATTAACCTTAAAGAATGAAATAAATATTTTTACCATCCTTGTCACATTTCAACCAAAACATGAGAATTCTTTTGAAACGCAGAGGTCCGCCCACTGTTGAGCCTCCAATTTGAGAATGCTGTTTTTTTAGAAGTTCACTATGGCGACAACCAGTCTGCTGATAAACTTGTAAGCTTCTGTGACAACAAGCATATATAATTAACATTAACTCATTGGCACACCTGCCAGCATTGGAAAAACAAAGTATCGGATATTTTACTGGCTACAATTAAAGGTTAGATACATCCTGCATAATCATCTAAGTCAAAAAGAGAAATTGGAAATGATATAGGCACTTATGCAGCGAGGTAAAAAATATGCATAGAAATCTCAAGCTAAAGAAGATTTTTGTAAACCATTATTAATAATTAATTAAAACAGCCAACCCAATTTTTTTAGGGTTTATGACTACTAATGTTCAACTCCGTAACCTTGAACCCAATCCAGAAGGTAAGGGAACTCCTTGATCAAATATTGGGAGAAATTTGCCTTAGTGGAGGATTTTTTGATGGAACTAATCCACATTCATGTTACATGGAGAGGAAAACCAAGAAATCCTTCCACGGTTAGCCTGACAGCAAGGGGACTTAAATCCATGATTTGTCTACCACTGAGGTTGTTTTATGTCAGCACTGTGGCCAGTGCAAGCCGGATGCAGTATTTGTAACGACCAGCTCTTAACACTCCACATACTGAAGTATTGACAACAGCACTATCTGTTGAGGAATAAGAGAAGTAATTTTGCCATCAGTGGATATTTTATCGCCAAAAATTTTTTAATTTTTTTTTTATCTTCAACGAATAAGGAGAAATTTGAGAATGTATGGGTAAACAGGAGATAGTCATAGAATATAGAGTCTTCATTAAAAAAACAGGAGAATCGGCAGGTACGCATTGATGACTCTGGAAAAAAAAGAAAAATCGAGAAAGTACACCAGCGTGTAAAAGTCTTTGGTCAAACTCAATATTATAGATGGCTGATTGGAAATGTAATAAATAATGTATACCTAAACATTCCTAATATGCTTATCAACCAGGAAGCAAAGTTAGCGCTTCACTTTAAATCAAACATCATATCAGCCGGGTATTTGTTTTTCGTGAAGCAATTTTCTTACATCTAAGAATTGGATGAAAATACAATCGAAGATACAATACATATTTATTTACAGAAATCATGATTTTAACTTTAACATTTATTTTTGAAGAATCAGTACTTACAAGACTCGAATTATATATATAAAAAGAAATATTCAACTGAACTGAGTCCAAAGATTTAAATTTAATCCAAAGAAGGTTACATTTTCTATTAGATTGCAAGAAAAGTAAAAATTCTGAAATCAAGTGTAATATATATGTTGGCTTGACTAAATAAAACGGAAATAATCTCTATAAAAAAATCATAGAAACGTTAAATTGCTTTTAACGTGTTGACCAAAAACTTCTGCATTCTAGTGTAAGTGTGGGGAGAGTACTTACCGGGAATGTCGACAATTTCAACCTTCTTCTATGAAAAGGTACCCCACCATAGATTCGAGTTAACACGTCTTTTTTAATAGTGAAAGGGAATTATATTTTTGTAGTGGTAGATACACTACAGTACTGCCCCACAAGAATTATATCTGTGACAGAATTTGATGAACGGATACCAAAAGTTGATTCATTGCTGTTTTTGTAAGAAGCTGGGAGAGCTGTATTAAGTTCACTGTCGTGGTCACTCCTGTGTTGCCTTTAGCAGCCGAGTGTATACAGGCTGATGTTGCGTGTAATCGAGACTGAGTAGCAACAGCACAAGGAGGTAGACAATGTCACAAGTCAACTGTTCAATGTGGGCAATCCATCAAAGTGGGAGTTTACGTCAAGGTAGGCATGTTCACATCCCGCCCAGGTCATCAATGTGGGGAGAGTAGTTACCAGGAATATATACAATGTCAACTTTTTCCTATGAAAAGGTACCCCCCATAGATTCGAGTTAACATGTCTTTTATACTAGTGGAATGGAATTATATTTTTGTAGTGGTAGATACACTACAGTAAGCTTAACTAAGCTAAAAATTAATAAAATGCATAATTTTTAAAATTTTTATTTACCTAATGATTTTCCTCCTATCTTGAGGATGTAGAGCATCAGCCATATCAGGATCGATTTCTTTTAAACATTTGTGCAGATCTAAACTAGGAACACCGTCCAATGAATTTTGAGTAATTTTGTATTTTAAGACAACTTCCGCAGTATATTCTGCTGCGTCACATGGTGCATGAAATGATGGAGACTCATTATCAGATTCATACAAAAGAATATTCTGATTATCCTAGTAAAGAAAAAAATTTTTTTTTTAAACACTAAACATACCATAACAGTCAAATAGCCGTTTAAGAACTTTTGTATCAAAAATGGGCTTATCGTCTTTGCACATTTCACTTCATGACCTTTTCTAACAATTATGTATAGTTGATATTCCATTATTATAATTTTATTTTTTTAATATTTTGTTTGTTCCGAACAATACGTGTCGTGTACCTATTTCTACCACAACTGGCCATTTGACCGGGAGAACAATTTATTGCTTTATAAGGTTAAAGGATCAGAAATTACTATGTCATGCATGTTCAAAGTATTGCATTCGATGAGCTGGGCATTTCTGCAAAGACTGTTGCGTAGTTAGTTCAATCAGAATAACTGTAAATCAAAATTTCAAGAAATTAACTAAAATTTTAGATTGGCATTTTTGTGTAAGAAAAAGCGACAAAAACTAAATGTTTTGGTAAGTAGCTTATATTTTATTTTGATAGCTTTACTCCATTTCTATCTGACTGTTAGTTTTTACCCAGAAAAATGTTTAAAAAATCAAGACAGCACAAGTTCTTAGAAGAAATATTATTAATTATAAGAATAATTATTAGAAATATTTTTTAAAATTTCCAATGAGCTGCACAATCGGTCTTGCCGATGAGCAGACCTAGTGCGTTCTCCAGAGGTGGTATCCACTCTTTCAGGACTACCACAATGGGTGAGATACCGTTGGTCATGTTAATTTGGACGTCCAGTTTCTGCCACACTAGATGGCAGCACCGAGACTCTATTTGGATGCTAAAGTGCACTAGGAAATGCCAAGAGCCAATAAGGCACTCCAGGGATCTTTTATATGCCACATAATCATACGTCATGGCCAATGAGGATTTTCTGCATCCCGAAAATCTGGTGTCTGGGATTGGACCCGCAGACTTGGGCTCAGAAAGCCGACGATAAACCAACTGCGCCACCCAGTCAACTTATTATTAGAAATAATAATAATTAGAAGAAATATGTTTGCGGAAAATGTACAATGTGGATATGTAAAAAATGCGTTGAGCAATGAATTAAAGATTCTTGATATTTGTGTTTGTAATAGATAAAAATTGGGAATATACAATTTTGTTTAAATATAATAAATTAATAATTTTTTTTTAGTTCACTTCCTTCCTAACATCCATATTTCATACATTCAATCAAGAAACATAAAGTACCGTCATTTGACCGGCTATGGTAGAAATAAGTATACATTAAGTTTAGTGTTAAATTCAGATGTTGAATTGCATAATATATCAACATTTGTCATCTAGTTCCGCGAGCAACTGATAGTTTAGTAACATTTTTACCTTGGATTCTATCGCATAACCAGTTCAGAAAGAAGTAATAATTGCTTTCAATTGTAGATTATTGCTTTTGCAACATAACAACATTTCTTTCAAAAACTATTTCACATGCATATTTTTCTTAGAAAATTTAGAAAAGGTGTTAAAACCCCCAATTCTTATAACAACAATTAAGAAAAAAAAAGGATAAAAGAAAATTTCTTATATTTTATTAATTTTAATAATGAAAAAAAAATTGCCTCTTCTTTCTTTTTAAGGAAATCTTAGCTTCCCAACACATGATTGGGAGCAAGGATTTTTTTTTAGGAGATAGTTATCTGTGTCTATCTTATATAATATATAAAGTTCAAAATGTCGAGAAAACATGGAAAAAATTACAGAATAATGAAAAAAGAAAATTATTTCAAAAAAAATTGCGGAAAAAAATTTCTCATCATTACATCTGCAAAAAGCAGTGCTTTCTATCAATATAGCCAAAGCAAAATATATCAATACAATAGTGTGAGGAGCACTTAAAATCTTTTTAAAAAACAAAATAGAACACATTAAGTAATAAAAATCAGAACATAAAATGTAAAGACAAAACAGAACAAAATTAAATGTACAAAGCGAGTAGCGATTTCAAATGAACTTACATGCACGGGAAAATCTTCAAGAATGATCTAAAATATTTCCGTAATAAAATAGCCAGATTATAAAATATAAAAACAGAAATGTGAATTGAGGTAAAAGCATAAGCATAGGGATTTTTTTTATAGCACATTCTTACTGCAGTACTGAAGCGAGTTTGATTTGTTAGTTACTAAGGATAGGCCCAAAAAATGGATGAGCAGAAAGTAATATTATACTGGAAAATTCAGACGTTTATAATTAATAAGGTTGATGTTTAATTATACAATTTTAATCATTTTAGAGAATTAACATTTATTTGAGAAAAAGAGAAGAGTTCAAAACATAAATTGCCAGTACTTTCAGTCACAGATTTGAACATGGTAAAAATTATATAAATTAACAAAGATGTTTTTAGTAAATTTATTTATAATAACATAAATTAACTCAACTAGTGGGGTATCCATTGTTTTTAAATCAAATTTTGAAAGAATTTGTCTATTTGTTTTTTGGATAAATAAACAATACTACATATTCTCTTAATTCTATTTATTTGATTAAAAATGGTATTTAAATAGATGGTCTTAGAATTTCAAGGAATTAGTTTATTTCTATTAAAATCATTTCTTTTATCGTATAAATCAACAAAGCAGACATTTTCTTCTTTTATAAAAACCAAATAAAAAAAGATTAAAGTTTGTCTATGTAAAGAAACACCCTAGCCATTTTGTCTGAAGCAGAGACTGTGGTTAGAAGTTAAAGTAGGTGTGTTGGGTCAATATTTAAGACAGATTTTGTCAGCAAGAGAATTTCAATAGAAAGAAGCTTCATTTTTTTAAATGCACTGTTTCTTGTTTCCATAGCAGCAGACAGCCTCATGGGTAGGGGAGTTCTTTCTATAGACAAACCATAAAAGGAATTAAAAAGATTATTGTAAAAATGTACCTACATTTGGTTGAATCAAAACTTCCCACAAAAGAGACTCAATATAATAATTTGTGCCTCCAACAATAATTGGTAATTTTTGGTCTTGGTACAACTTAGTAAGCTTATAACTGTATTAAGAAAAGTTACAGGTAAAATTTTTTAAAGCAAAACTATTATTTCCCTTTCAATATATCTAATGGAATTAATTTTAATACAAACACACACAATATAAAACTTAACATAAACAAATGTAAATTAATTTCTGATTAACTACTAACTTATCACTATAGTTTCACAAATAATGATGAGCTTGAGCAGCAAATAAAGCCAGCATTCTCTTTAGGACATAAGTTAAAAGAATGTTGGGTTATATACCATTTTGAAACAGTTTCAAACTTGCATTATTATATATATAGCGGCCAACATGGACAGGAAAAAATCCAGTAGATTTTATGAGATAATATAAATTTCATGATAACTGTTGCATAATGAATATTCTACACATAGGAAATTTTAGGGAACTTTTATCATCAAAATAGAAAAACTGCAATATTACACCATTTAGTTTCAAATTTGTATTACTATATGAAAGAAATTTTATCTATTTCAATTACATTATGCAGTATGGTTATAACAAGGTTACCACGGAGACTAAAAATGAAATTAAAATTAGCAACTTTTTTTTCCCAGTTTACAATGGAATGTGAAAGCAAATATCGTTTTGGTTTTAAATATGAATAATTTGAATTGTAAGTCATAGTGGTAGTTGCGATCGAATAAGTAACAACATAATAAACAAATAAATAAAAGTGAAGTGAGTTTCTGCAACTTCTAACGTCTTTGGTTGCCTATAACATCCCTGTTATAATTAAAGTGACCCCATTCAAACTCCTCTAAAATCAGTTTTGCACATTGAATCTTGATGAAGATCTTGGCACATGTGTTATATGGACCGTAGAAAAAGATTTCTGACGTAAAATAGTTCACATTTTGACCACCAGAGGGCACTTTTCAAAATTTGCTGATGCAAATTAGTCTAATATGTAAAGAGACTTGCAGTTAGAGCCAGAAAACTGCCTCATCATTGCTATATCTTATTTTATATCCGTCGCCGAACAGCCGACTCAATTTTGGATTTGGGACTAGTAAAATTCCACTCCGTAGCCTTGTCATTTTGAACCTAATCCAGAAGATAAGGAAGCTCCTGGATCAGTATCCCCAGAGGTGTGATTTGTTATAGAAACATGGAGAACTTTGTGACTCGATAGATTTAACATGCATCGGTCACCATTTACTACACCGGGAGTCTTCAGGTGGGGATTGAACCCCCGAACTCTTGAACATGGGCCCAGTGCCCTACCAACCAGGCTATCCCGGCCTCTTCATCATTGTTAATCATATCCTTACAGCAGAAAGATCAAGAAAGAAAGTTTTACCAGATCTGCACGAAAATCTTCTTTTAAAGGGCCTACATTGAAGAAGGGTTTGATTAGGAAATTTGAAGAGACCTGGGGATGCTGTCAAAAAAGTTATGAACGAATCTGTCAAAAAGAAGGAAAAAAATCACTACTCTGTGGTTGTAAAGAACCCTCAACTACAGTTTCTCTATAGCAAGTCTTCGAATAGTAATGTGATTTAGCGGTTACGCGTTCAACAGTATGAAAAATTCTGTTATCCATTTTTAAAATGGTACAGGTTATAAGATCCAAAACAGTGCAAAGTTATAAAAAGACAACATTTTTTAAACAAAGTTATAAATTTTTTTTAAAGCAAATGCGTTTCTAGAAGTGATAGCTCAAATTTAAATTTGCATGTCTTAATAACATGAAATTAATGATGTTTAAATTTGAAAAATTACATGAAAATGGCCAAAAACCAGGGTTCTTGATTTTTTTTTAAAAAAAATCAAAAGAATCAGATTTTTTTGATTTAAATCGGATTTTTTTGATTTAAATCAGATTTTTTTGATTTTTATTTAAATATACTGTAAGAACTTTAATTTATGATTAAAAAAAATTATAAATGTTTAATCAAATTAACTTAATATTAAAACTTATTGTAACAATATTTTAGAAGCTCTAACTAAAATAATTTTTTATTATAATACATGGCTTTGAATGCATAGCAACCATTTTGAAACAAATGCATGATTAAAATTTAAAGACTAGATGAAATAGAGAATTTAAAGAATACTTCAGGGGTCTGTCTGGGTTTTTCTGAGAGGTACCTATTTTGTGAAAATTAAAAATTATATTAAAAAATCAACACAAATATAGTAAAAATATGGATTTATCGTTTCTTACGAGACACAAAAATAAAATTTTAAGAAAAAGTATTTTGTGTGATTATTCTATCATTTTTCCTAAAGTTGAATTTGTAAAGGTACCGTTAAACGGTAGTAAATTTGGCTTGGACAGACCCCTGTACTTTAACTATTAAAACAAAGTTTCAGTTAGCAAACCATAACTTTAATTTAAAATTGTGATTTCTTTTTTTTTCTCTTGATTTTTAAAATGACAAAATAAATGTAGCAGACTGTGTTTATAAATGTAGTCATTCATCAAAAAATAAATAAATATTTAATCTATATATTTTTATATTAAAATATTAATTTTTAATTCTATATCAAAATAGATAAGTTAAGCTAAAAAAAAAAATTTAGAAAATCTATGTACTCATTGGAATTTTTTTTCACAAAATTTCTTTATAGAAAATCAGATAATGTCAAAGATACTGTAAACATATTATGAGAAAAAAGTTTTTGACATGACAACTGAAAAACTGGTTTTTGACATGACAGTGGTAAAAACCGTCAAAAATCTATTGTTTTCTTTAATTTATGGCATATAGCGGACAATATACTATTTTCACTTAATTGCCTTTATAAATGAATGTTGTAAATGATTGCTATTGATTTTGCAACTATATACACGCATTCTTATAGAAGGATATACATTCATACAGAAATATTGTAACATACTTATTGAAAATAGTGATACTTAACTTTTATCATTACAGCTTGATTTGCAAAGGATTCAAAATTCTGCACTTCTTAATTGTTAGAAATAAACCAACAAACAAAAAAAACTTGGAATTATTAATAAATTCAAGAACTAAAAAGAAGAATTTAAAATTCGGCATTTCTTAAATATTATAAATAAGCTAAACAAAACTTTAAAAACTTGTAACTACTAGCAACTCTAAGTCAGGGATGACTTGACATTCTTCAGTAATGTAATATGCCAAACAAAATGATGCTTGGAAATGTTGAAAATTTTGTTTAGTATCAGAATATTTTACTTCAAATAGTATGATTTGATATAATCATGTTGGGAAAATGAAAAAATCTGTTCTTAAATATCTTTTAACAACTTTTTTTCTAATTTTATTGTCCAAAAATTAATTAATTTTAAATCATAAGCAGTTAAACTCAAATTAAAATACAGTTTTATCAAAACTATGGGTTTTTGACATGACGGTAAAAACCAAGGTATAAACCGTCATGTGTCAAAAACTTGCCAACCCTGATATTAGGGTAATTTCCTTTTAATATAACCTCAAGCTTCTGAAATATACATTTTCCACCAATAAAATATGATGTAGATTTTAATTCACGCTTTTTCATTCAAAAGGAAGAATTTTAATTAACATTATTTGTATTATTTTTTGAAAAGAATTCATGTTTATTAATTACTTTCTACAGCTATGCAAGTCTATATTAAGACAGCATTAAATGTTTACTTTAATCTGTACTTTCAATCTCAAGAATCAAAAGATTTTTAAAAATGTAATTTCAAATGTGTTGGAATTTAACACACACCAAGAAAGAAATTTCGTTAACTAAAATTAATTAATGAAGCAATTTATTTAAATTAAATTTTAATACTAAGAAAAGAAAATAATAAAAGTATCAAAAATTTAAAACACTGTTTTTTAACTTTTAAAATCAATATATATAGATAAAAAAAATTAGTTGATTTAAATCAATGATTTTTTAAAGAAACTCCTTTGATTTAAATCAACGAACCCTGCCAAAAAGTAATAAATAACTACCAAAAAACACGATCGGCAAACAATGTGGATTTATGCTGCAATCGTTATAAACTGAGTGGTTAAAAGAGATAGATCGAAATAAAAATTTGCTGGTCGTAATAACATTGTCCAGTAGGGAATCGATTAACCGGAATGATCGGGACCATCGCTATTCCGGATAACTGATTTTTCCGGTTTTCTGAATCGCTACAAAATGCCGTATTTTTTATTGTTGAACCCAACGAAAAAAAATATCTATATATTTGTAAAAAATAAGAAAAAAAGATGAAGAAATACACTAATGATTATTTCCAAAATGATGGTAAGGTAAAAATCTTTCAAAAAAGAAAGAAAAATCCTAAAATCTTAGGAGGAAAATTTTTTTTATTTTATTTAAATGGCGGGAAAATGTATCGAATTTCGTTCCGTTTTTTTTGGTTTTCCGGATAACGGTTTCTGTACTGTATTAAAAACATCAACATTTGCAAAATTACACGGAAAAATAATAAAAAAATTATGAGAACTACAGAAAATGATGAATAAGTGGTGCAAATGTAGGATGGAATCGTTGCGAACAGAGTTAGTTAAGTGATAACTTAAATATGAGTACCACATTAAAAATATCAGAGTTTTTTTCCCCTAAGAGAAAAAGAAAAAAAAAAAACATGAAGATGGCTAGAAGGAAAAAAAAAGACATGCAATCTCGGAAAAACGATCAGCAAACGTACGTAGCTTTAGGATGGAGTCAACGCAAATAGAGCGCTCCAAAAAGAGATAACTGAAATAATAAAGGCAAAATAGCTCAGAACTGAACAGTTGACTTGCTATATGCGGCATTATCCACCTCCTGTTGCTACTCAGTCTCGATCCACACACTCGACTGCTAAAGGCAACACAAGAGCGACCCATGACTATGAACAATTCAGCATTCAAAAGTAACTTGATCTTAATACAGCTACAAAAACAGCAATGAATCACTTATTCATTGAATTCCATCCCAGCTATAATTCTGGTGGCTGGTACTGTAGTGTGTCTACCACTACAAATTTACAATTCACTAGTATATAAGACTATGTACATTTTAATAGAAGAAGGTTGACTACACACTTAAATAAAGAGACAATTTAAGTTTAATTGAATAAGAGCAGATTATAAGAAAGGATACTAATGGAAGGCTTTGATTCCTGTAATCAACAACAGTATAACGTTGAAGAGGATCAAGAAAATCAATACAATGATGAGGAGCTAATTTTTGTTCTTCAACAGAAACTTTATTGGTAACTATATCTAATCCTTTGTAAACCTAAAAATGAATAAATATTTTAGCTTTAAAAATATACATATTTTATTTCATGACAGTCATTGAACAGCCAACACAATTACCACTGTTCAACTCCTTGAATCCAATCCAGAAGACAAGGAAACTTCTGGATCAAGTATTGGGAAAAATTTGCCTCGTGTGCACTTTTTTGATGGAACTAACCCGCATTTGGGTTACATGGAGGAAAAGATCACGGGACCAACTCGCGCTCTTTCGTAGGAGGTTCTCTGAGCGCAATGGGACCCACGATTCCTCTACCGCTGAGGATATTTCACGCCTGTGGCTGGTGCAAGCCGGATGCACGATCGATCGGCCATCGTCGGGATTCGAAGCCGGTTCACCTCATTGGAACGCTCTATCCCCTGAGCCATTGTGGCTTAAATACAATGTCATTGTAGACATTGAAAATTAAGATTAGAAATTTGAGTTTATGAAACAAATTTCAATACTAGTTCAACCTAGGTAGTGCTTTGTTTGTGCTAAGGATGAAGAATTTTCAGCATCCAATAGCATGCTCTGATATATTTAAAAAGTCTATTCCCACATTAAGAGCCGTTCAGGGGATAGAGCCTTTTAACGAGGTTTTGGCTTACTATGGTAGGTTTTCCTCTCCATGTAACGGGTTAGTTCCATCAAGAAGAAGGCAAATTTCTCCTAATACTTGATCCAGGACATCCCTTGCTTTCTGGATTAGGTTCAAAATTACAAGGTTATGGAGTTGAACACTAGTAGTTGTAAACTCGAAAATCTGTGTCAGCTGCTTAACGACTATTATAAAATAAAAACATTCACATAATAATCAAGGACTTAATAACACAACATGATCATGCAGTATAGTATATCGGTCTAATCCAATATAATAGAAAACCCTTAAATTAAAAGATATCACTGAAACTTGGAAATTTTACTTGTATATGAAATTGGTTAGAATGTAGATATATGTTATGGGATAGAGCACCCCTTGAATTGGGCGCTGTACTTAGAATCTTTTACAATAAATAAAATTTTCTATTCGCCTATTTTTATCGTGGTTTCTTATTAAGATAAATCCTACTCCTCAAAGTAATTTTCCCTGTTTACTGCAAGACAATAAAAAATCTCTAAAAAAACAAAAGAAGAGTAGAGCAATACTGTAAACTTTTACTGCTTGAAGTTTGAGGAAAGCCCTGTGGGAGAATTTTTTCGAGCTATCTGTAACAAAACTCTCTATCACTAATATCTTTCTGCAAGATACTTTTAATAATAACTAACATATATGGTATTAATTTAAAATAAAAAAAGTGCTGTGTTTACAAAAGAAAGAACTATATATGTTTTTTTTTTAATTGAAAATGTAATAAATTTGTATTTTTTTTGGGGGGGGGGGCAGGGGCTGGGAAATGCTCAAATTTTTTCTTTCTTCGCCGTTTGTAAATAATCATCACAAAAAAAGAATCGAAAACTATGAAATCGGTATTTGTAATTGCCGATAAAAAGATTGACGGCAAAATCACGCAATTCAGGCGCCTCAAATGTGTGTTTTGCTTTGAGATTAAGTTGTGGTAATAAATAATATCGAAGAAAAATATCGGATTTAAAAACTACGGAGAAATCAATAGCATTAACTGCGAATAGAATATCCATATTGCCTTTAAGAACTCAAATGCACAATTTTCCAGAATGTTTGAAATATATTTCGGGATATTTAAAAACCACATGAAAATCAATAACTGCCGAAACATTAGATCAAGTGTGGCGTGAATTGAGCAAGTTAAAAAAGTGATAATCTAAATGCATGAATATTAAGTGTAAATTTCTGTAGAAAAGAAAGGTTATTTTTTTGTAACTTTTCAAAAGAAAAATCGTTCTGCAAGACCTCTGTAGCCTTCTGCGACAATGTTGGTGCGATTCTGCCACGGCGGAGGGAAGATTTCTTATTGTGAACTACGGCAGAATAATACTTTACGGAAACTAAAAAAAGAGGAAACATATAGACCAACTCAAAGAGTACATGATCTGATGTGCCAATCACCTACATGCCAAATGGATATTAAACTTGAAATTAAAAAAACAAACAAACATAGAACAGTTTGCCTAGAGGCTGCTACAAGTTATACCCTTCGTGTTGGTCACCTTCAGTGATGTTTTCTTTTAATTTCTCGTGAATTGCTACCCGTAAGTTAACTAAATTAAGCGATTATTCTGCTGCAAATCACGATAAGGAAATCTTACCATAATAAGAAAAAGGAAAATTTTATTTATAGTAAAAGCACCAACATACATTAAGTACTTTCAGCTTTTTAATTATTAGATTTAATAATATTTAAGTATTTAAAATTAAATTATGAGTTAGCTATATAGTACAATTGGGAAGATTTCCGTATCATGATCTGTGGCAGAATAATCGCCAAGTCTTGGCAACTTCCGGGCAGCGGCCCTCGATAAGCTAAAGAAAAAATCATGACAGAAAGGGATCAACTCAAAAGTTATAACTCAATACCACCCCCTTGCAAACATCTAAATGTTTTTTTTTTCAATTTGCAAGTTTAAAATCTATTTGGCACCCTGGCGATTGCAGTTGGCACAACATATCACAATACGGAAATATCCCTGGTATGATCCCGTTACCAATGAATGTATTGTATCTAGGAACTGTTGCTACTGCAAAGCGAGAGCAGTATGTGAATTAACATGTCAATTCGAACACAAGTCTCATCAAGTGAATGCTTAATCACTTTGGCTCAAGAATATTTATTATTTAAGTTATAAACAACAATGGAAAATTTTTTCTTCTTTTTATCGCTAACGGCAGGTACTGAACTTTTCGTTCTTCACCTGGGAAGATGCAGGAAGTGTTGCTTATTTAACATTACCCAGTGGGCACCTGTAAACCTAAGTCACGGAGGCGAGCAACATTACCCATGCCACAAATATTCGTTCATAGGGTGGGCCACATTCACACACAACAGAGGACAAAAACAACACAAAGAGAGAAACATTCATGCCCAGAGCGGGATTCGGAGCTGTAACCATTGGCTTCGCAGTCAGGCACGCTAACCGCCTGACCGGCACAATGGAAAAATTAAAATGCGTATTATAGTTTTTGTGGGATTTCTATATCGTGATCTGCGGCAGAATTGGAAACTTGTGGGCAGTGGCCCACGAGAAAGTAAAAAAAATCATCTCAGAAAAAGACCAACTCGAAAGGTATAACATGAACAACATCCCTGCAAACATCTACATATTCTTTTTTTTTTTCAAAAATGTGCAAAATCTGTGTTAAAAATCTTTTTAGCACCCTGGCGATTGTAGTTGGCTCGATAGATCACGATACGGAAATATCTCCGATTTCATCATAATATATACGCACTATATGATGATTAAAGGAGTTGCGGAGCTGTTTTGCCATTCCTTCATCTCCCAACTCTTTTGGAGAGAGCGGTGTCTATAATAATACAAAACAAATGAATACATACAATGTGGTGCAATTGATTCTAATTTTTGTCGGATTTAGTTTAAAAATTGTCTCGACTTCCTGATAAGTAGAAAAACTATTTCTGTACGTGCATTGCAACTTAAAAGACAAAGGAATTACAAGTCTATTAAATATTTTAACTCTTATATGAGCAATTGTAACTGAATTTATTAGTTGGAAGAATTATACGCCTGAAAAAGTTATTTTAAGAGAATGCAAAACACACCTGCATTGAATCTGCACTTATTATTTCCCCGCCAAATTTTGTAGCCAAGTTTATAGCAAGTTTAGACTTTCCAGTTCCAGTGCATCCTAAGATTACAACAACTGGCAATCTAGACTTAGACATTATTAACGAAGTTAAATATCTCTTAATTTGCAGCATGAAAGTTAAAATTTAGCTCATTTTAAGCCTTTTTCAAACACAGAATGAAAAATTATTCATTTTCTGAACACGAAGTTTCCGGTTTTCTATTTTTGTCCCGCAGTGGACTGATCGTTAAGACATGGAGTTCCCAGCAGATCACCGAAGTCAAGCACCCCTGGTTAATATTGATATTTGGTCAATTTGGGAATTGGTAACTGAGCGGAGTGAGCTTGGCGCTAGCTCATATCCATCAATCTTCTTATAACCCTGTAACGGAAGGTTTTCTATCTTCCTACTATGTACGCACTATCATATCTTTTGCAGTATTTCACATGTACCGAGTTCTTTCTTTCAGCCTTTAAACTTCAGCATTATCATATTAATATTATAATCTTAAGAATATTTTCTAATCAGACTAACTTAAAAAGATATTTTTGCGACATTTTATTCCAATGTAGCTAAATAAGGGATAAAATACAAAACATGGCAAACCTTAAGAATTATTCACAATGAGATATTAACTTTCAAAATTTTTTTTGGCCTTACGACCTTTGAGTATCAATACATTTCTGAAAGCTCTTATGAATGGTACAATTACGTTTAGATTTGAACCCAAATTACAATAACAAAACTGCATAGAATTTAGGCTTATTTACACATCGCCTCATAGTCATAACATAAGCGGAGGGATACACCGGAAATTTTCTAAATTTCTTCCGGTTTAAGGACGCTTGTTATTGTTTACATTAGGCCAACCATCCATATACACAGTTATTTACCGTTAATATAAAATATATAAATCCATTAATACTTTTACATCCCAATGTCTGGAACGTCAATATAGTAATTAATATTGAGTTGTCTTAGCAACGTTGTTTTTATTTTTCATAAAACTAAATATAAATGCTTGTTATGTTATTGCTCTTGCGCACCATAGCACTCCCCCCCTAGTGAGTTACTCGAACGATGAAGAACCTCATGCATAACGTGCTGGAATGCGCACTGTACGCCCAGATCCAGTCACTTGGGGTGGAATAACAAGCTTCACTCTTTTGTTTCCGTTGCCTTGCTCTGTAGCAGCTTTAGAAATTGTAGACGATGAAATAGGCCCAAAATTCTTTTCAACCAGTAAAGGTGTTTCTGAAGTCTTTTCAGATTCTGTAGAAATGTCCGAAAAATAAGTCATAAATACTCATAAAATACTCACAAAAGAGTCATAAATAGTCATAAAATACTCACATAAGTCATAAATAGTCATAAAATACTCACAAAATAGTCATAATATATAGTAATGAAATACATGAAAGAGCATTATTAGCCAATAGAAACAAGAATAACACGGTTTTGAGTTTCCGATTCAAGTTATCTTTATAAGGCATCCCAAAAATCATATTCAAATATTCTGGAAAGACAACATTTTTAAGATCCACATAAGACATTATTAATCACGTTATATATTACATAATTAATAACATAATATTTGTATCATAATATTATATATGTGCTGTCCCATAGCGTGGGGTTTAAGGAAATAACACTCTTATATTTAACAAGAACTATTTATTAATTAATTACAACACTTCGAATTTAGAATACAAAAGATGCGTCTTAACTCAACGCTAACAGGTGAGGAATCTAAACTGAAACTTTTAGAGAGGGAACGTCCCAATTCGATTGCGTAGGCGTGATAGTTCGTAATGAAAGCCTCGAACGGCCAAATACATGACAATATATCACAGTGATGAGAATCCAACGATCAAGCAATTTGTCATGGCATCAAAAGATAACGGTATTAAAAAGGGAAAGTGATGTTCACACCATAGGAATTGTTAAACACGTTTGGAATTTTCATATTGATCCACGTGTAATAATCGATCTTTGTAGAGTATTTTTATGAATTATAACACAAAACTAGTGTTTATCGATCTATATTATATAAAACGCTAATACGTACGTATGTATCAATAAAACCGATGATATTTCCTTTCTCGCGGTAGCAACAGTTTTCATTTTTAATTGATTGGATTCGGCGCGAAAGAGCACGTAGTGAGCATCATATGGCTAATCTATATTATATAAAACGCCAATACGTTTTAATTGATAGGCTTCGGCGCGCAAGAGCACGAGCTAGGGGGTCTTGAAATTTGAACCTTTCTCGAGCCATTTTATTATTTTATTCGTTTTTTTTTATTATTCCATTACGTTTTCTTTACTGGACTTCACACAGAAAACACCCCATGCATGCTAGAATATCCAAAATGTTACAATAGAAGTCGAAAAAGAGCAAATAAACTGATTTTCCTGGATTTTTCCAGTTTTTTTCCCATTTTCCCAATAAAAAGAATTTTTCTCCTACATGCAGGAACCTCCAGAATATCGAAAAACACATAAAAAAATAATATAGCTTAAAATAAACAAAAAGAAGAAAAGAAGAAAATATTTTGAAAATTTTACCGTCCCTGGGATTCGAACCCTGGACCCCTTCTTCCTGCAGCGAACTTGCTTGTCTGGTGGCCTTCCTTCCAGTCCACGGTGATAGTGAATCCTGCCACACTTTCGCTTCAAAAGCTCCCTCCTCTCATCTTTGCAATATACCTTTAGGGGTCAACTGTGACCCCCCTAATTGGCCTATAAAAATTATCTTCAGCAGCCTTGTTTGGACCATAGACCCTTACTTAGGGTTCGAGTTTGAAAATAATACCTTGATATTAAAGGGAGCAAGGGGTTCTAGAAATTTGAACCTTTCTTTTTTTTTTTAATTATTCCATTACGCTTTCTTTGCTGGGCTTCACACACTGAAAACACCCCATGCATGCTAGAATATCCAAAATGTTACAATAGAAGTCGAAAAAGAGCTAATAAACTGATTTTCCTTGATTTTTCCTGTTTTTTCCCATTTTCCCAATAAAAACATTTTTTTTCCTACTTGCAGGAACCTCCAGAATATCGAAAAACACATTAAAAAAATAATATAATTTAAAATAAGCAAAAAAAAAAAAAAAGAAAATTTTTTGAAAATTTGACCGTCCCTGGGATTCGAACCCAGGACCCCTCCATCCTGCAGCGAACTTGCTTGTCTGGTGGCCTACCTTCCAGTCCACGGTGATACGTGAAGCCTACCACAGTTTCGCTTCAAAAGCTCTCTCCTCTCATCTTCGCAATATACCTTTAGGGGCCCACTGTGACCCCCCTAATTGGCCTATAAAAATTATCTTCAGCAGCCTTGTTTGGACCATAGACCCCTACTTAGGGTCCGAGTTTGAAAATTATACCTTGATATTAAAGGGAGCTAGGGGGTCTTGAAATTTGAACCTTTCTCGAGCCATTTTATTTTTTTATTTTTTTTTTTTATTATTCCATTACGCTTTCTTTGCTGGACTTCACACACAGAAAACACCCCATGCATGCTAGAATATCCAAAATGTTACAATAGAAGTCGAAAAAGAGCAAATAAACTGATTTTCCTGGATTTTTCCAGTTTTTTCCCATATTCCCAATAAAAAAAATTTCCTACATGCAGGAACCTCCTGAATATCGAAAAACACATTAAAAAAAATAATGTAATTTAAAATAAACAAAATAAAAAAAAGAACATTTTTTGAAAATTTGACCGTCCCTGGGATTCGAACCCAGGACCCCTCCCTCCTGCAGCGAACTTGCTTGTCTGGTGGCCTACCTTCCAGTCCACGGTGACACGTGAAGCCTACCAGAGGTTCGAGTATGAAAATTATACCTTGATATTAAAGGGTGCTAGGGGGTCTTGAAATTTGAACCTTTCTCGAGCCATTTTATTCTTTTTATTCTTTTTTCTTTATTTTTCCATTAGGCTTTCTTTGCTGGACTTCACACACAGAAAACACCCCATGCATGCTACAATATCCAAAATGTTACAATAGAAGCTGAAAAAGAGCAAATAAACTGATTTTCCTGGATTTTCCTGTTTTTTTCCCATTTTCCCAATAAATTTTTTTTCCCTACATGCAGGAACCTCCTGAATATCAAAAAACACATAAAAAAATAATATAATTTAAAATAAACAAAAGAAGAAAAAAAAAGAAAATTTTTTTGAAAATTTGACCGTCCCTGGGATTCGAACCCAGGACTCCTCCCTCCTGCAGCAAACTTGCTTGTCTGGTGGCCTACCTTCCAGTCCACGGTGACACGTGAAGCCTACCAGAGGTTCGAGTATGAAAATTATACCTTGATATTAAAGGGTGCTAGGGGGTCTTGAAATTTGAACCTTTCTCGAGCCATTTTATTCTTTTTATTTTTTTATTTTATATTATTCCATTACGCTTTCTTTGCTGAACTTCACACACAGAAAACACCCCATGCATGCTAGAATATCCAAAATGTTACAATAGAAGTCGAAAAAGCGCAAATAAACTGATTTTCCTGGATTTTCCAGTTTTTTCAAATTTTCCCACTAAAAATTTTTTTTCCTGCATGCAGAAACCTCCAGAATATCGAAAAACACATAAAAAAATAATATAATTTAAATTAAACAGAAACAAAAAAAGAAAATTTTTTGAAAGTTTGACCGTCTCTGGGATTCTAACCCAGGGCCCCTTCTTCCTGCAGCGAACTTGCTTGTCTGGTGGCCTGCCTTCCAGTCCACGGTGATACGTGAAGCCTACCACAGTTTCGCTTTAAAAGCTCACTCCTCTCATCTTCGCAATATACATTTAGGGGCCCCCTGTGACCCCCCTAATTGGCCCATAAAAATTATCTTCAGCAGCCTTGTTTGGACCATAAACCCTTACTTAGGGTTCGAGTTTGAAAATAATACCTTGATATTAAAGGGAGCAAGGGGGTCTAGAAATTTGAACCTTTCTTTTTTTTTAATTATTCCATTACGCTTTCTTTGCTGGACTTCACACACAGAAAAAGCTAGAATATCCAAAATGTTACAATAGAAGTCGAAAAAGAGCAAGTAAACTGATTTTAATGGATTTTTCCAGTTTTTTTCCATTTTCCCAATAAAATTTTTTTTTCCCTACATGCAGGAACCTCCAGAATATCGAAAAACACATAAAAGGAATAATATAATTTAAAAAAAAAAAAAAAAAAAAAAAAGAAAAGAAAATTTTTTGAAAATTTGACCGTCCCT